TAAAAAAAAAAAAAAAAAAAAAAAAAAAAAAAATCTATATATAATAAATAATAAATAGGGATTATTTATTATTTATTATTTTTTTTCTTATGAGTAATAAATAATAAGTAAATAAATAAATGTTATTTATTTATTATTTATTATTTATTATTTTTCTTTGTAAATAATAATAAATAATAAATAAATAAATAAATAAATGTTATTTATTTATTATTTATTATTTATTATTATTTATTTTTTTTCTTTGCTGTGAATAAACCAGCAAACGAGGAAAGAAAAAGAAATAAATTTCTTTTTCTTTTCTTTTTTTATTTTTTTTTGTATTTTTTTTTATATAAAAAAATAAACCCTTCAACATCAATCCATAAACCACAAACCCCAATTTTTTTTTGTTACTAAAGAAAACACTCAACCCTAAACCCTAAACCCTACAATAACGAACAGAGAACTCACTATATCTTCCCTGTTACTCGCAAATATAAATTAAGGGTTTAGGGTTTAGGGTTTAGGGTTTATGGATCTTAGCTCATTTATTTTTAATTACCTGTTTATTTAATATTTTAATAATAAGAAATATTTTTATTGAAAAAAAAAAGTACCCCGTCTACCGATACCGAAGGCAACACCAGGGGCCCCAGGGGCCACAGGGCAACAACAGGGGCCCCAGGGGCCCCAGGGGGGGCCCCTTGGGGGCCCCCGTTAGGGTCCCCTCCTGTGTGTTGGCCGAGGGCTTGAAGATGGCGATATGCTGTTAAAAGAAAAAAAACTCCCAAAGCAAGCGCTTAGGGTTTAGGGTTTAGTATTTAAGCTGGGGGTTTAGGTTTTTCTAGGGTTTAGGGTTTAGGGTTTGAAGTATAAGCAGGCACACAGTATTAATAAGAAAATTGTTAAGTCATAAGAAACAAATAGAAGGGAGGGATTACGGTTTAGGGTTTAGGGTTTAGGGTTTAGGGTTATTATCTACGCGCAGCAAAGGACGTTAGCGTCGACGAGTCCACCGTAAACACTAAACCCTAAACCCTAAACCCTAGATAAAATATTTAAGTGTGCATACACCAAAGAAAATGTGTTGTACGTAACCTGAATTAAAAAAGCAGCAGCAACAGTTAATTTTTTTTATTTTAATTTATTTTTATTTTCTCGTCTCTTTTATCCTTGCAATATGTCGGCAGCAGCCCTCAACAGCTGCAGCAGCAATAGCTGCAGCAGCAGCAGCAGCAAAAGCAGCAGCAGCAGCAGCAGGAGCGGTTTCCCCAATGGGTTTTCTAAGGAAATAAAACGCAGCAGGCCTGTGCTCTGTCTTGTAGGCATGCGAGCAGCAGGAAAGTCTCTCTTTGCTACTGCAGCAGCAGCAGCAGCAGCGCGTCCCAACTCCAGCAGCAACACCAGCAGCAGCAGCAGCAGCAGTGTTTGTGTTGTTGACTTAGACATATTTATAGAGCGACATTTCTTAGCAGGATTTGCTCAGGTGCATGCAAAAGAAGCAGCCTCAACAGCAGCACCTGCTGCTGCTGCTGAAGCAGCAGCAGCTGCTGCTGCTGGCTTTGCAGTCTGTGGGGAATGTATATGCGGCAGCGAGACATCTTGGCCTCCCTCTTGCTGCATCTGCGCCCCTAAACGCAGCCTTAAACGGTTGCAGCAGCAGCAGCAACAACAACAACAACAACAACAACAACAACAACAGCAACAGCAACAGCAGGCTCAGCAGCAGCAGCAGCAGCAGGCTGGTGGCTTAGCTGTTGAGTGTTGTATCTGTGAAGGTCCCTCAAGGTGTTGCTCTGTGCGTTCTTTTCGTGCTGCGGCCTTCCCCATCCACAGCAGCAGCAGGCAGCAGCAGCTGCTGTTGGAGCAGCTAACAGCTACCTGTGGTGTTGCTGCATTCAGAAGCCTTGAAGCTGCTGCCCTCGCCTTCTGCCTCTACATGGCCGATCCTCTTGCTGCTGCTGCTGCTGCGGCTGCAGCAGCACCTGCTGGCCGTAGCAGGGAGGAAAGCTGCAGCAGCAGCAACAACAGCAGCAGCAGCAACAGCAGCAGCAGCAGCAGCATAGCCTTTCGAGGGTATCTCATTTCGAAGTGCTCAGCGCCTCATCGATGGCACATTCAACCACCTGTAGCCCGCTGTACAAGCAGCAACAGCAGCAGCAACAGCAGCAGCAACAGCAGCAGCAGCAGCAACAGCAGCAGCAGCAACAGCAGCTGCAGCATACTCTCTAGCTGCCCTTATTGCGAGGTAGCTGACTGCTACACTGCAAATATCCAAGATGAGGAGTTGCTGCAACAGTTCGGCTGCATGCCTGCCACCCACCAGCAGCAGCAGCAGCATCAACAGCAGCAACAGGAGCAGGAGCAGCAGCAGCAGCAAGGGAGTCTGCTGCTGCTGTCTTGTGGCGGCGGAACTCTTCATTCCCCTGATGGCCGTTTGCTGCTGCTGGCTGAACAGCAAATTGTTTGGATAAGAACCTCCTTCCAGCAGCAAATCTACAACTTGCTTATGGTCTGCTGCTGCTGCTGCTGCTCAGCCTGCTGTTGCTGCTGCTGCTGAACCTGCTGCTCTTGCTGCTGCTGCTGTGGTGCTGCTCTTGTGCTTGCTGGTGTTGCTGGTGCTGCGGGACAACTGGTTGCCACAGCAGCAACACGTCCTTGTGGGGTTTGCTACTGCTGTTGCTGCTGCTGTTGTTGCTGCAGGCTGGCGAGGGTCCCCTTTCCTTCTCCCCTTGCATCCGGATGCTGCCATTCGCTGAGGAGGAGGAACAGCAGCAGCAGCAACATATGCTGCAGCAGCAACAAATGCAGCAGCAGCAACAGCAACAGCAGCAGCACGATGATGCATGCATTGCATGTATGTTGAAAAAAGCAACGCAGTGTCTTGGTCTTGCTGCTGCAGCAGCAGCTGCTGCTGCTGCTGTACAGTATCAGTGCAGCATCGACGCTGCTGCCCTCGAACTCGCAGCAAATCCTAAGGAGGCCTCCGCATGTGCCGACATGCACAAGCAGCAGCAGCAGCAGCAACAGCAGCAGAGGGGATGGTGCGGTATATGCTCTTCTGCTGCTGCATGCCAGATGCAACGGGTAACCACTTCCCTGGGGGTCCCTTCTCTAGAGCAGCAACAGCAGCAGCAACAGCAGCACCGCCACCACCAAGAGGAGCAGGGGATAGAACCCTTGCATAGGAGCGTCTTGCTGCAGCCAATCTTCATTCTACAGAGTCTTTCGTGCTGCCGAAGAGAGCAGCAGCAACAGCAGCAGCAGCAACGGGAGGCACTTCCGTACTGCGTTCGTCCAACTGCTGCTGTTGTTGCTGCTGCACTTAAACTTGCTGCTGTTTATGCAGCAAGGATGCGGGAGCTTCAGCAGTGCAGCACGAGCTGCCTATACACCCCAGGCATGGGCATGTTCTTTCGTGCTGCTGCAGCATTTGCGGAGGAGCAGAGACACTCTGCTACTGCTGCTGCTGCGGCTGCGGATATCGGCACTAACAGCAGCAGAGCTGCAGCAGCAGCAGCAAACAGAAGCAAAAGCACTAATACTGTAGGGGGGAAGGAGACACAGGCTTCCGCCTTAATATCGCCTACTTTGCTGCTGCTGTTGCGTCAGCCAGCAGCAACCGCAACAACAGCAGCAGCAGCAGCTGATGGAGACTCACCTTCGCGTGTCTCTTTTATAAAGGTGCTTGCTGCAGCAACAAGAGATTATCTGAATTGCTGCGCTGCTGCTGCTGCTGCTGCTTCGATGCGTACGCTGCTGCACAGGGCCCCCCCTCCTCTCCCTGGCAGTTCTTTCTTAATGCTGCCGCGGCAGCTGCTGCTTGCTGCTGCTGGACTCAGCCTGCCACAAGCTGCAGCGCAGCACCAGCAACGGGAGCATGAACAGCGACAGCAGCAACAGATGATACTGCTGCAGCAGGCGAAAGAGGCCCGCGAGTCCGTCATCCTGCTGCTGCTGGTGCTGGGACCGCTCGTGATGTTGCAACTGTTGCTGTAACCGCTGCTGTTGTTGCTGTTATGTTTGGTGTTGTGGCTGCTGTTGCTGCTGCATCCACGCTGCACTGTCTGCGTTGCGGTGTCTTGCAGAGCTTCTCTCTGTGAGGTGCGGGTAGATTTGCTGCTGCAGCGTCTGCAGGAGGAGGCGTACGCAGCAATGCAGCAGCAACAACAGGGGCAGCAGCACCAAGACCAAGAAGCCGTTGCTGCAGCAGCACTCCCTGCTATCGTCTCTGTGTCTGAAGAGGCGTTACTGACAGCCATCGTTAACTGCTCGTAGGCCACATTTGTCGTGGGTATAGGGTTTAGGGTTTATGCTAGGGTTTTGAGTCTACATTCCCGCTTAGGGTTTAGTGTTTAGGGTTTAGGGTTTAGGGTTTTATTGTGTGCTGCAGCGTTCTATTTGGCTGCCCTCTGCTGCTGACCTTCCGTACAGGAGACGAGGGAGGGGTAACAACATCAGCAGCAACGGCAGCAGCAACAACAGCAGCAACTGTGGCAGTATCAAGAGGGCAGGAAAGGATATTCACTCTCACTCCTGCTGCCACTGCTTCCGCTGCTGCAGCTGCTGCTGCTGCCAGAGGCAGCTGCTTCCGCAGCCGAAGGCTCGAGCGCAGGCTGCACAAGGGTGCATCAACACCAGGAGCAGCAGGTGCTGCTGCGGCTGTTGCAGCAGCAGCGGAGGCTGTTGCTGCTGCTGCTGCTGTGGCCCAGATGCTGCTGCAATACTGGGAGAAACAGCTGCTGCTAAGCAGCATTCCTGCTGCCTACATCGACTTGCAGTGTCGCTACTGGCTAGCGCTGCTGAGCTCGCAAGAAAGCCGCACGCACCTGTCTGCAGCTGCTGCTACTGCTGCTGCTGCTTCTCCTGAGGAAGCAAACGGAAATAATGAATCCTTCGAAGGAGCAGCACTGTGGCGGCTGTCCCGTTGGTGGATTGCAACTCTTAGGCCTCCTTCTGCTTATAGGCGCAGCAACAGCAGGAGCAACACCGGCAACCTTGTCCACGCAACAACAGGAGCGGCACCACAGCTGCAGCAGCTTGGGCTTCTCCACTTCCCGAGAAAAGCAGCAGCGCAGCAATTGCTGCTGCCAAAGTGTGACGCGTTTCCCTCTGCTGCTGCTCTAAGGTGCATGGAAACCCACCAACGTGCAGCTGTCAAGCGAGTCACAGCAGCAGCAAAAGCAGCAGCAGCTGCTGCTGCAGCAGCGGCACGGAGACGGCAGACGATTTCAAGGCGTCTTTTCTCTTGTCTTCAGAATGGTAAAGGAGCACCAGAGACAGCAGCAGTTGCAGTAACAGCAGCAGCAACAGAAGCAGAACCAGAGACAGCAGCAAGAGGTAATGCTGCAGTGCCAGCAGCTGCAGCCTGTTGTTTGCTGCAGCAGAAGCAGCAGCAGCAACAGCCGTTGCTGCTGCTGCAGGTGCAACATCTGTGGAAGGGCCTCCGGACTCTCACTGTTGCCTTCCCTGTGTTGCAGTCGGCAGCACGGCTGTTGCGGGCCCTTTCTCCAGCAGCTGCTCCATTAGCAGCAGAACCAGCAGCAACAACAGCTGAATCAGCAGCAGCACAAGAACTGCCAGCAGCAGCTGGAGTCGCAGCAGCAGCTGCAGCAGCAGAAGTGAAGAAGGTCATTGAAGCGCTGCTAGATCTTAAAGAAGCCTTACTCACGCTGCTGGAGAAACCCAGATCCGCAGCAGCAGCAGCTGCTGCTGCTGCTGCTGCTTCTGACGGAATCCCCGCAGATCCCTCAGCAGCCGCAGATGCTGCTGAGGGATCTGCGGGGATTCCGTCTATGGATTGCCGCTTTTCAAGGGGGGCATCTGCCGTTGCCGTTGCTGCTGTTGCTTCTGCTGCTGCAGCTGCTGCAGTCCAGCGGCTGCGCGTGCTGCTGCAGCGCATTGCTGCTGCTGCAGTGCAACGAGCAGAGAACAGCAAGACACGGGTTATTGGATCTGTGCATCAGCTACAACAACGGCAGTTGCTGCTGCTGCTGCAGCAGAAGCCGCCGCTTCCTCTACGGGAAAAAGCTATCAGGCACTTCTTTATGTATGATTGTTGCTGCTGTTGCTGCTTCCAAAGCCTACTGTTGTTGCTGCTGCTGCTGCCTTTGCTGTTAATGCCCTGCTGTTGTTGCAGCAACTGGTGCTGCATTTACAGCCGCTGTTGTGTTCGGCGTTGCTGCAGCTTGTGTTTTTCCTTTCTGCATTTGCATGTCTCATGTTTCTACTGCTGCTGCAACTGTTTCGCATGGCTGCTGCTGCTGCTGCAGGGAGTCTGCTGTCTTCTTCTCGTGGCGGTTTGTCTCCGTCTCTAAGCTCGTCTTGCTGCCAGCCGGCTGCACTAGCAGCAGAACGAGCAGCCCCACCAACGGCGACAGCAGCAGCAACAGCAACAGCAACAATACCAGCAGCAAGGAGAGGCAGCAGCAGCAAGTGCTGGCGCTGTCGGAAGTGTCTGCTGCACTGCAGCAGCTCCTCCAGAAGCAGATCATTTTTGTAATTGGGGGAGAGGAGTGTCGCCTCTCTCGTGTCTCCTGTTGCTTCTTGTCTCCTTGCTGCAATACCACAGGCCCTGGGGTGAGTCTGCTGCATCGTGACACCCAGCAGTACCTACATTCGCGGGTTTAGGGTTTAGGGTTTAGGGTTTATAAGCTCATGTTTGAGGCAGCGGTGTTGTTCAGGTGTATGGGCAGCTACCGAAGCCGCTGCTGCTGCAGATGAAGCGTTTGCTGCAGCAGCCCTGTCGCGGTGTTTTCCTGTTGGGCTACCCGACAACTCAGTCCCCCACACCTTACCTTTACTCCCGCTTACTGCAGCAGCAGCAACAGCAGCAGCACGTCTACACCCACTTCTTCCCCCCCCTTGATGAACAGAAGCGGTACCTTGGCCTACAGCAGCTGCTGCGGCAACTGCAGCAGCAGCAGCAGGAGCAAGAAGTTCAGCAACAAGAGCAGCAACAACATGTGCAGCAAGCACAGCACGGACAGCTGCAGCTGCTGCTGCTGATGCTGCGGCAGCAGCAGCTGAAGCAGGAGATGCAGCAGCTGGAAGCGGAGTTCGCTCTATGGGTGCAGCAGCTGCTACAGCGCGACCGCTGTTTGCTAGGAGGCGCCTCTGTAACCATTCCTTTTAAAGAGATGGCCACTGGTTATGTGGATGTTGTCCACTGGTCCGCCAAGGCAGTAGGCGCGGTAAGGAGAAACTGCATGCACGCGGGCTACTGCTTGCTGCTGCTGTTTCTGTTGTTCCAGGCAGGCTCGTCTTGACTACTCTTGTTGCTGCTGCTGTTGCTGCTGCTGCTGCATGCGCCTCCCATCATTTGTGTCCGTGGCAACAGATAAGTGGTATATTTTCTTTTTATTTATTATAAATAAATACTTTTCCCCTTCTTCGCTTTTTTTCCTTTTTTCTCGTTTAGGTCAACACTCTCTTCTGGAACTCCTCGGGGGATCTCGTCGGCGCCAACACTGACGCATTTGCAATCAAAGAGGCATTACAAAGGAATAAACAGGTGTGCCCCAGCACTAGAAGCAGCAGAAGCAGCAGCAGTAGCAGCAGCAGTAGCAGCAGCAGTAGCAGCAGCAGTAGCAGTAGTACTAGCTCCAGCAGCAGTAGCCGTAGCAGCAGCAGCAACAGCCACACACAAGAAGCAGAACACATGGAACACGCAGCACCGTAAGCAGGCGCAAGCAACAACAAGCAGCAACAAGCAGCAAGGAAGAGCAGAAGCAGCAACAAGAGCAGCAGCAACACAATTGTTACAGCTGCTGCCCACTTCCGTCTCTATCTTGCTGCGTTTACTTCTTAATATAATTAGCACAAATCTTTTCGTATTAAACAAACATATTTGCTACATATTTGCTTCTATTGGGCAGGCTTACCAGCTGCTGCTCCTTCAGGTGTATGATGTGCATCTCCTGCTGCTGCTGTTGCTGGTGGTGCTGCTGGTTATTCCGCTGCAGCCAAAGGATGTCTGCTGCATTCTACTGCTGGGCGCGGGGGGGACCGCTAGGGCTGCTCTTGCTGCCATCTCCCAGTGGCGCAGCAGCAGCAGCAGCAGTTCTTGCAACAACTGCAGCAGCAGCAGCAGTATGGCAAATACCAGCTGCAGTAGCCCTCGCTGCTGCTGCACCGATAGCAGCAGCAGCACTGAGGCAAAAAGCAGCAATAACAGTAACAGCAGCAGCAGTAGGTGTTGCTGCCGCAACAATAATGTACGGATTTTAATATTAAATAGAACATTTACAAGAGCAGCAAAACTTGCAGAAGAGTTCATGGCGGAGGCCGTCGCCTCTCCTGAAGCACTGCAGGAGTGCCACATCGATGTCATCGTAAACCCTAAACCCTAAACCCGAATGCCTAAACCCTAATGTCAATCCCTTAGCAATCGAAACATTTTCTCCGTTATTTTCCTTTCTTGTCACAGGGAGTTGCATATATTTTTGTGCTTTTATGTATATTTACATCCATATGTATATTTATATTTATATTTTCGTTTACATTGTTATTCTTTTTATTTTTTTAATGTATCGATTATTATCTGTTGCTGTACATATTTACATTCATATACGTTAGTAATTGTACATATATATAACTATGCATATAATGTATATGCATATATATTATATGCATAGTTATAGTTATCTGCATGCAGTTTTTCGTGAATGTGGGTATGTTGTCATCTGGCAGATAAATGTTCGTCCATCTTCCTCTCCTCTTCCATCTTTTCCTTCTTTGTTTGCTCGCCGTCCCCTCCTAATAGAATTGGCTTATGCCCCTCCCTCCACTCCTCTACTAAGAACGGTCAGCCCCTGCTGCTGCGGCGGCGGCGGAAGTAGCAGCTGCTGCCGCTGCTGGTGGAGATTGCAGGTTCTTACCGTCTGCATATATCGTAGTGTTCCTTTCGCCACTTTAATTTGCACAAAGAATTTATTCTTGTTAAACCTCTTCTTGTCCCCCTATTTACATGCATATTAAGGCCCTTCTGGCATTTGTAATTGCGGTTACATCCACTGCAGCAAACCTCGACACCGGAAGCAGCGCAAGCAGCAGCAGCAGCAGCAAGGCTTGCAGCAGAGTCCATTGGGGCGTGCTTCTTTGTTCCCCGATGTTTCGTAGGTGCAATTGGTTGTTAGTGATGTGCTCATTTTACTTTACAGATGTCTATAACAACGCATGTTGTATATTTTGCATGCTCTTGCTGCTGCTGCGTTTGTTGCTGCATTGGCTGCAGGGGGCAGCAAGCTGCTGCCGGGGGGTGTCTGGCTTGGAGTTGTTTTTCTATCAAGGGAGCATGCAGAGTCGGTTGGTACTATTGGGGCTTGGATTTCTTCTTCGTCTGCTTGCAGAGGACTTGTGCAACTTTTTGCAGGATTACCCCTATTGGCATTCCTTTGTAAAAGAGTTGCTCCTTAATACTCAAGAGGCAAAGCTAGGAGACAGCAAACAAGCGACGGCGGCTGCAGCAGACGACACTTGCTGCATTGTGAGGAAAGAGGACTTAAGGCCCCAGTAGCCATTTCTTTCTTTCCTTTTTCTCTGCGAATCCACTAACTGCATTTCTTTTTAAACCCTACATCCCAAACCCTAAAGCCCAAAAAAACCCTGACACGCAGGTTGTTCCTTGTTGTGCCTTTTTGTCTCTGCATGCAGCAGCCAGGCCACTGGGGCCCTTCACCACCAGGATGGAGCACCGCTTGGGCCTTAGCAGTCCCTTTAGTCCTCAATCTTTATGAGACGATATTTGGCGAGTTGCCGCCTGTTGAACTCAAGGATCTTCTCTAACATACATATACTCATTTATTTATATATTTACGTGTATGCTCTACCATTTTTACACTTCTATGTATATGTGTTTATAGCACAACAGTATGTTCTGTGCATGCATAGACAGATAAATAGAGGCAGACACATTCAATGTAGGAGGGAGACATATAGAGAGAGCTGCAGACAGGCAGCATATCTGCCAGATAGTGAGACACAGCGACAGATAGCAAAGGATGCACATAGGGAGACACAGCGACAGAGAGGAAGGGATGCACAAGCTGCACGCAACGGGCGTGCATTGTATGCACATAATGAGACACAGCGACAGAGGGGAAAGGATGCACAGGCTGCATGCAACAGGCGTGCATTCTACCCATTAGGCACTGTCGTGAAGCTGGAAAAAAGCAATATTCTGAGGCCTCTTTAACTGTATACTCCTTCAGAAACGTTCATGCATGCACCGTCAACGCATGAATCCTTCTGAAGGATAAAGGCATGCATGCCTGCATGCATCCGGTGGGGATGCCAGCAGGCAGAAAATTCCCCGCATGTTTCTCCATTTTATTCTTACTATTTACTCAAACACTCTGCTTCTATACCTCTGCGGTGTATGTGACTCCTTAAATCCTTCAAACTATCTAATCCCCACTTAAGCCATCTAAAACCTAAGCACCGGCAACCACCCGTCGTTCCTTCTGGACGATGGCCACTCATCCCTTCCCTCATATCCTTCCTCACCTATTGTCTGCTCTACATATTGTCTGCGATATATAATATACATACCTCTGCAGAACTCGTGTTTCTGTAAGCAAACTCTGTGCATGCATACGAATGAGTATGCATGAATACGTTCATGTATGCAAAAAAAGTGCATACATGCAAAATCGCATGCAGAAGCGCCACATTGAATTCAATGGGCCTGAGAAGCAAACATAACTGCACTTATAAGAAGAAACACTCCCCTCAGCGGAGAAGAGGTGAAAGAAAACGCGAATGCACACACATGCATGCATCCCTCTGTACGACAGGGAACACGCAAGTAACAATGCATGCATGTTTCCCAAGCTCTTAATGGGCAATGCATATATGAACATGCATTGATAACTCTGAAGAGAGAATGTATGCCTCCACGCATGCATTGTAAACTCCCAATGAAAATTCATGCATATATCCATGCATGCTTACGTGTACTGCAATCCTTGAACGACAATGCATGCCTGCACGCATGCATTGGAAACTCCCAATGGTACTGCATTCGTGCATGCACACATGCACATACTGCAATCTTCCAATGAGAATGCGTGCCCGCACGCATGCACTGCAGACTCCCAATCGTGATGCATGCATGCAGGCATGCATATACATGCATATACTGCAATCTTTGAACGATAATGCATTCCCGCAACCATGTATTGCACTCCCAATGGCAATGCATACATGCATGCAACCACATGCTTGCTCGCATACACTGCTGGAGTCAAATGCTTGAACGACAATGCATGCCTGCACGTATGCATTGCAAACTCCCAATGGTACTGCATACATGCACTTACGAATGCACGTACTGCAATCTTCCAATGACAATGCACACCCACACGCACGGCCGCATTGCAAATACCCAGTGGCAATGCATGCTTATATGCATGCGCATGCATGCATATACTGCAACCTTTGAACATGCTTGCACTCACGCATTGCATACCCCCTTGGCATGCATGCATTCCATGCCAGCACATAATGCAATCTTTGAACGGCAATGCATGACTGCACGCATGCACTGCAAACTCCCAATGGCGATGCATGCATGCACGCTGATGCATGCATACATACATTGCAATCTTAGGACGATAATGCACGGCTGCATGCACGTACTGCAAGCTTCCAATGCCCATGCTTGCACCCATGCATATGCGCGTATGCATGCCTGAAGATGCATGCATTCATGCATGTATTGCAATCTTTGAACGACAATGCATGCCCTCACGCACGCAATTGCAAACTCCCAATGGTAATGCACGCATGCATCCGTATGCATGCATGCACATACTGCAATGTCTGAACGACAATGCACAACCCCACGCAAGCATTGCAAACTCCCAATGGTAATGCATGCATGCATGCCTATGCATGTATGCATATATTGCAATCCTTGAACAATGCATGGATGCACTGCAAACTAGCTATGGCTATAGATGCATGCATGAGTGCACGCAATGAACGACAATAAATACCCGCACGCATGCATTGCAATCCCCCAATGGATATGCCTGCATGTATGCATGTCTCAACGATGCGTGCAATGCACACTCCCCCGCATGCATGTATTGCTAAATCTGAACCAGAGTGCAGGCACGCAGGAATGCACTGCAAACTCCCAGTGTCTGTGTGTGCACTGCAAACACTGAACGGCATGCGTGCGCGCATGCACGCACTGCAAAAGCCGAACAGAAATGCAAACATGCATGCACGCACTGCAAAAGCTGGACGACAATGTTTGCATTGTCGTCCAGCTTGCAAAGTTTGCAGTACATGCGTGCACGCATGCATGTACTGCACACTTTGCAAGCACGCAGTTAAAACTGCATTATAGTTCATGCCTACATGTATGCATGCATGTATTGCAAACTCTGGACGGCAATGCAAGTAACCATGCAGGCATGCATTTCAAACTCTGGACGACAATGCAAGCAAAACTGCATGCATGCATTGCAAACTCTGAACGACAATGGATCCACCAGCGCATGCATGCAGTGCAAAATGTGGGCGACATTAGAAACATGCGTGCATGCATGTGCATTCCCTGGATTCTCTGAACGACAATGCATCCACGAGCGCAAGCACTGTATACTCTGCAGTGCAATGCGTGGATGCATCCAAGCATTGCATGCCTGCATTTGTTCACGCATGAATTCCCGAATCTGAATAGCTGCGCCAAGACCGCCCTATCGTCAGTAATCATCTCTATACACTGCCTGATGAACTGATGATCTGAAGGAAAACAAACGCGAATTGTAATAATAAAAAAAAAATCCAGGACGCATACACTCGACGTCCCTCTTGCGAATGCTGCAAATGCATGCATGCTGCTTAGAAAAAACTGCTCCAGAAAATCATTTGAAGACCAGCAGATCCCTATGCTTACATCACCCCAGTGGTGTTCTGCCGCTGCTGCTGCTGCTCCCGCTGCAGCTTCTTCTGTATAGCTGCTGCAGTTGCTTGTCCACCAACACTCCTCTTTTCTGCCATCTTCTATGGGCCAGATCTCCACCCTGCTGCTCCTCAAGAGCCATTGCTTCTACATGGTCAGACATTCCACTTGCTCTTGCTGCGATGTTGCAGCACCTGCTCGACCTGCGGCTCTTGAACACCGTGTTTCTTCTGCAGCACCTCATCCTCCACCTGCTCGTTCTGCTGGGTTGTAGCCGCCTGCTCCTCTGCCTGTTGTCGCTGGTGTGTTGCAGCGCATGCTTCACATGATCTTCCAGCTGCAGCACCTACTCCTCGATTTGCCCTTGCTACTGCAGTAGCACCTGCTCAAGCTGCTGCACGTGAGCAGCATGTGCAGCACCTGCTCCAGCTGCCGTCGCTGCTGGGTTACAGTAGCCACTGCACCAGCAGCTCCTGAAGAGCCCTTTACCATCCCGGTCTTCCACCTGCTCGTGCTGCTGTGTTGCAGCGCCTGTTCCATCTGCTGCTCCTAAACAGCATGCTGCAGCTACAGCACCTGCTCCACCTGCTGTCTGTAACCAACGCATACTGCTGCTCCAACACCTGACGACCATCGCTGCTCCTGCACAGCGTGGTGCTGCTGTGTCTCCTGGTGTTCAAGATGTTCTGCTGCTGCTCCACCCGCTGCTCTTTTCTCGGGTTCAGTGACGAGATCGGCAGAATACTGCTGTAGGTCTTGCTGTTGTTAGAGTTGATACAGCAGCGGTGATGACTATCCATAGAGGGGGCTTGCATTGCCAAGAGTAAGAATGGGCTTCTCATTCTCTTCATCCGAGTTGTGTTTGCCGCACGCGCTGTAGGCTTGTTCGAAGAGGGGGTCGGAAATGGCGCCGAAGGCAAATTCTCCTCCAAAGCGTTCAATTTCAGAGAGCAGAGGATAACGAGGGAAGGCACGAGGGTCCCGCCTAGCGACGTCATGCAGCTGCTCCAGCAGAGCAGCAATCGAGCACACGTCAATACCCCCCGGGACCTCCTGCTGCTCAACGAATGGCCAGAAGATGTGCAGGTAGGGTATTACATCCCCCCAGCAGCGATGTGGCTTACGCCGCTGCTGCTGCTCTTGTTGGGCCTCCTCTGTTGCAGTCGCATCACTCAAGTCGCCACCGTTTTCTGAAAGAGAGCTAAGAGGCAACTCGTAGGCAGGCGTAGGAGAAGGCGGCCGCTTTGTGGGGGCCCCATTGTGCGGGCCCCAAACTGCCGCATGTACCACCTTCTCCCTGTGGTGACGTACCGCCACCCAGCGTCTCCATTTGTCTTCCTTTGAAAACGACAGCCTCTTCAAGATGGCAGTCTGCAGGCTGTCGAGGCATATCAACAGCGCAGTGCGCAGCATCATACGTGTCTGCAGCGGAAGGCACTGCAGGCAGAATCCCAAATCACTACACTGCAGCGCCACCACACACTCTCCACAGACAGCAGCGTATGCGCATTTGCAACTAGTGGCCACATCGCTCGCCGACCTGCTTCCTCTCCTGCTGCTACTGCTGCTGCTGTGGCCCGCCTGTGCGTAGTGGCGACCCCCTTCCATCAAAGCCCACTCCACAGGAGATACACCACCGCCTAACTGGGGGCCTCCCGTCTCCTCACACGACAAGCCCTCTTCGTTGGGTGTCCCATGCAGCCTCCTCCGTTTGCCCACGGCAAGACGGCGCGAACGACGACGCGGGCTTCGCCCCTGAAAACACCAAGAAGCGCACGCATACACTTCTTATGGGAGGCTTTGGAGCCTTAGCAGTTTTCAGAAAGGGCGTCTGACTGCAGCGTGTTCTACACCCCACAGGCATCACAACGTATGAAAGACAGTTCAGCGTTCCCCTCTCTGCATGCACTCTGCATGCTCGTCTGCATTCAGTTTAGCCCACGAAGCGGTGCAGACTCTCTCAGCTGTCTTAAGCATCTCCTCAGTCTCCAAGCTGTTCAGTGTCTGAGGGGTGATGTGGTGTCGCAGTTCCTACGGTGATAAGGGCGTCAAGTATGTCTCCGTCTTCCACGAAGTCGCTCCGTTCCACAGAAGAAGCCGGCACAAACCCTCTCTCCAGCTCCGCATGCACAAGCGCAGACAAAGAACCACCGCTTCCTCGCCCTGCACCAAGTGCCACAAGACCCCCTTGCTGCTCAGCGGGGGAACCCATCTCGTTAGGGACAGGACCCCGCAGTGCCTGCACCCGCTTGCGAAACACAGCGTCCTGATTCGCTGAAGTGTCCGCATGCAGTAGCGCGCGGCTGCCGCTGCTGCCGTCCCCGACCAACACCTGTACGTAACGGCAGCAGTAAACGCAGCAACAGAAAACAAAACAGCAACTGTACTCTTCAACGGGAAGCAATCCCTTCAACCATCCTAGCGTGCACCGACCCTACACCCTAGACCCTTGAACCCATAGAGGCGCACTGTTGCGCAAGCCTACACAGTGAACCCAACGCAGACCAACCTGTGAGGTTCCCACCGATTTTAGCACCTCCTCCTCCCGTCCTGTCCGCGTTGGAGTTCGAATGCCATCTTCTGTGCGCCCATACAAAACCAGAGACTTCAACCCTAAACCCCAACTTCCACGCAGCATACACTCCCAAGTGAACAGGCAGACGAGGAAACGAAGCAGCCACATCCAAAAAGTCTCATCTCTTCAGTATTACATCAAGCGGTTCACGGCCAAAACCCGTGTACATGACTGCTGTTAAAAACTCGGCTATCGAGATAAAGGGGATCCAGTCTAGAGGCTTGATCCTCAGCCCCAAAAGCCCACCCCACAGGCATACATACTAGTATCTGCATGCATACATACAGGTCCATATATTTGTACATCAATACACTATATATGTGCAGATATATACCTCCAGGGTTGCGCCACGTTGTAAATGCCTCTCTGGGCAGGTCGAGGGCGGCCGAACAGTCCTGTAGAAGAAAAGACACATACGAGGTGCCTGCGCGTATCGGTCCCCAACTTATTATGAGCAACTGCTTAGAGGAATCAAGATGCATCCCCACATAAATGCATGCATGCAAGTTCCTCGGGTGTTTGTGCATTGTGCCATAAACCCTAAGTCTTTGACCACAGAAGAATGCTGCGGCAAGAAGGCATATGTCGATACACTGTTCATGTGACGTAGGGTGAAAACAAGCACGACAGCAAAGGATGCGTTGCGTTATTGGAGGGGAAGCCGAATATAATAACGGAAAATTGGGAGGGGCCCAAGGAGGCAGCTATTCACACATGGAATACAACGCATGCATGGGGATCACGTTGCCGGCCAAGCGACGATCTGCCCCAAATACGCCACCGGAAAACAAATAAGAACATAGCCGAAGGGAAACAGCGTAACAAACCAGCAGAATGGGTCGGGACCCTTCAACCGGCTTGATGACGTGCGACGAGCAGAAGCGGAGGCCTGCAACGAACAAAAGGGGATAGACATAATATAGTATGCGTGAGGTGAGCATATAGATAGATACACAGGGTGGAGAAACGCTGGAACGCAGGACTCAAGGACTCCAAGATAATCGAGCAACAGCAAACAACCGACAAGGCGCCAACAGCAACACGTATACAACCCAACAACAACGGGCAGAAACAGGTAGCATACAACAAACAATAGGAGAGAACAAACGACCAACAACAAGCAACTAACGACGGAAAACAATGAACAACTACAGAGAGCAAACAACCAACAACAACCAAGCAGCATTATCTGGCAGTCAGAGCCTCATCAATGAACTGCAACGCACAAGCCTCGTATGCCTTGAACACACAGCCATCATACATCCTGGCAGTGAAGGTTTTTGCCCTCTTCGCGCCCGTCGCTTTATCTCGAAAGAGAGCAAACCACCTGTTAAAACGCAGAAAAAGCAGAGAAATGCACGCCAATTGAAGGATACCGCTATCCACCAACATCATCAACGAAAAACCGAAACGTCAACTTCAAGACCCTCACGCGGGAAAACATTCTGCTCGTGTCGCCTATGTGCATGTGGGGTTGGATACGTCTCTCTACTGTCTCCTTCAATCCCTCTCACTACTACTCTGATCCCTCCTCTGCACTTCTGCCCGTCTGCTTCGATCTCAGGTATGTGCTAGCGTCGAACGCAGACGGGAGGCCGACGGCGTTTGTTTCTGCGTCACCTCTTCTGCCTCATTGTGCCCCGCCATCCGCGTGCTTCCTACGATCTCTAAAGCTCAAAATCTAATCTACCGTAAACATGCAAATATACACCTAATTGCCATCGTGTGCCTCTGCGAGTATTTCTATATATATCTACGCATGCATCGTATGCTCATATACACTGGGAAACGTCCTAAAATACTTATGTACATGCATATGCATATTATTATATATACTATATATATGGTGTCAATGCGGACCTGAAGGTGGACTTGTCGAATCGAATCCCCGGAGGGAAGGGCGCGAGGGCTTCAGCCAGCCTAATTGCATCTCTTGGGGTCCTCTCGGGGTTGACGGGAGCGCTGATGCCGAGCGTCTCAAGTTTAAAGAGGCTGAGGCGATGTAGAGCTTCTGCTACACATGGGCACTGAACTGTTCCCCCACGGTTCCCCCCTTGTGCGCCTGGTCCACCACCACCACCAACAGCAGCAGCAGCAGAGCCTCCTGATCCTGAAGCTGCAGCCGATGCCGCCGACTGTGACGGAGGAGGCGCTAGAACTGCCGGCACAGTAGCAGTGCCCTCCTCTCCACTCCTTCCGCTTGAAACCGTCAGAGGCGACAGGGACTCAGAGACTCCTGCTCCCACATCTCCAATTCCATCAGCTTCTTCTGGCTCCAAACCCTGCTGTTGCCCGATCTGCTCGTGGTCATGCCGATGGCGTGGTGCTGCACTTCCCCCAGAAGCACCACCGTCCCTTTCCGCTCCAATCACGTCGGTCGTCAGCTCTTGAAGCAGCAAATCCAGAAGAGATATCCGCCTCTCTACCTCCGACGATACCTAAACAAAAATGCCCGCGCATGGAGTAATATGTATGCGTGCACTCCTACGCTGGTGTGTGCAAATGCGTGTGTAAGTCCATCCCTAAGACGCCAGTCACAAGCCAAGAGGGGCTAAACATTCCAAAGCACCCGAAGGAAGAGTACTCCCCCCCGGGGAACCTGCACCGTCGAGCACCACTAATACGTTTCCAATTCCTCCAATTGAAACCCCGGCTATACTGTCAATCTAACCTGCCGCAGCACGTAACTCGTCCGACGATCCAAATCATCTGCACATGGTTGCTAGGACAACTGCATACTGCATACTGTCGCATTTGTTATTGCTAAGATATCCTGCATTCTGCAGGGGTCAACTAAGACAGTGAATGTGGCCCCGCTTGCCCCCTCTTCCATATGCGACCATTTACCTGTGGCCGTCGTCTCGCCTTCTGCCCTCTGCCCCTCTGGCCTGTAGAGACACCTGCACCCTCCGACTGCAGCCCCCCATTTGCAGCCAGCAGTCCAGAGGGCCCCTGCTCATTAACGCCAGAAGTAGAACCGTCTGACGGCTTCTCTGAGAATTCGCGAGCACCACAAAACACAAAGAGCCTCCGTGCCTCCAATGCACGTGGTATAGTATAAATGCGGCCAAGGACCAGCGAGCCTACAGGCATGTAATTCACTAATAAACAAACGAAGCGTCCCCGATATGGAGCCTCAGCATAACCCTTGGGTCAGCCTTTGGTCGAACCCGTATTATACCATGCAGAGCGATTCGACGTATCCCCAAACCGTTGACCGATGCCACACTACACAGCGCCAGTCTAGTAAGCAGAAAGAAGCAGCCACGTGAAAGGAAGTCCACGCGCGCACCGCTGGACAGATATGGAGTGGAGTAGGTAGGTAGAAAAGCATATGCATACAAGTAAACGACGACGGAAGAGAAACAAGGTATGCACACAGCGGTACGCGCAAAACTCCCGAGACGAAAACCGATTGAGGAAGCAAGGCATCCCATGATAGAAAAGACACCTAGACTCAAGCCCCAACGTACGACCACTACCACCTAACTAAACGACTCAAAACGCTCCTCCATCAATACCCATGAATCCCTCTCCGAAGCAATGCATTTGTATCTCACCTCCAGAGGACCCCTTCGGCGTTAGGAGATGATCCCTCCTCGTCTGCACTGCCAACTCGTAGCCTCTATCGAATCCGAACTTGTGGACGGGGAAGTACAACTTCTTGGTGCCGCTCTTCTTAGCCACCTGTATTAACACGCACCGGCAAGCTCGGCTCAAAGACGAGTGACCTACAAACCTAAAACCCTAGATGGTTAGCGTAGACCCTAACTCCCTGCTGTGCCGCCTGCTCGTGGCTGCGCAAGGAAATAAACCCACAAGGGATGGGTACACAGTAGCCGCCGCACCGAATATTGTGAACCTCTAAACCCCTCGATGCCCTAAGGGCCGACGTAGCCCCTATACCCCAGATCACAGCACCTCCTACACGAAACTATACCCCATACGAAGATACGTCTCCGAGGCATTCTGCACTCTTGTCCCCAGCGAATACGACCGCATGTCTCCAAAGAATACAACCGGAACCTACCCATCGTCTGAAGAACCTGTCGAAACAAACCCCCTCCACCTTCGGCTTCTGCTTCGCTGCCTTAAGCAACTGGATTGTTGTGTAGTCTCCATTCTGCAGCAGCTGCACCTGATCCCCGCCTGCATCTGGTGCAGCCGCAGCAGAAGTTGCTGTTGCCGAGCCAGTTGTGCTGCAGCTGGTGCTGTTGCCGCTAACGGCCTCTGCCTCTTGGGCACTCCCGCTGCCGGCGTGTTGTGGCGCTGCGCTGTTCAGCTCGCTGCTGTTGGGAGACCCGCTGCTGCTGTTGCTCCCGCAGCTGGTAGCGATGGTGCCGTTTGTGGAACCGGCGTTTGCAGCGTTCGCAATGCCAATGCTGCTCTGCAGCAGCTGCTGCTGCAACTGCTGTTGCAGTTGCCGGTGTAGCTGCTGCTGTAGTTGCTGCTGCTGCTGAAGCTGCTGCAGCAGCTGCTGCTGCTGCTGAAGCTGATGCAGCTGCTGCTGCTGCTGCTGAAGCTGTTGCAGCTGCTGCTGCTGCTGTTGCTGCTGCCGCTGATGCTGTTGCTGCTGCTCCTGCTGCGGTTGCTGCTGCAGTTGCTGCTGCTGCTGCTGCTGTGCCTCCAGCTGCAACCGTCTGTGCAAAAGGGAAAGCACAAGCTGCTGCTGCTGCTGAATCCTCTCCAACTCTTTCGCATTGATGGCTACCCCTTGGAAAGGGCTCGGGCGCTCCTGCAGCCGCTGCTGCAGCAGCAGGACCTGCTGCTGCTGTTGCTGCAATTCCTCCTCCTGCTGGCTCTGTTGCTGCTGCTCCTGCCTGTTCCCTTGCCGGTAGCCCTGGTTGCCGCATCGCGCTGCGAGCTGCTGCTGCTGCTGCTGCTGCTGGTGCTGCTGCTGGTGCTGCTGTTGCTGCTGCTGCTGCCGTTGTGGTAGCTGGTGCCGTTGTGGTAGCTGGTGCCGTTGTGGTTGCTGGTGCCGCTGCTGCTCCTGTTGCTGCCTCTGCCTCCCCTGAGAAAGCAACAGGCTTTCCCTGATTGACACGAGGGCATCCTTAACGGTTGCCAGCTGTTGCTGCTGCTGAAGCTGTTGCTGTTGATGCAGCTGGAGATGTTGTTGCTGCAGTTGTTGCTGCAGTTGCTGCTGAAGCTGCTGCTGCAGTTGCTGCTGCAGTTGCTGCTGAAGCTGCTGCCCGGCCGGGGAGGAGTCTACCAATTCGCGGTTGGGAACCGAGTTCCGGTGCACCATCAGAGAGGCGAGAGCTTCTTGGAGGGGTCTACCGCCCCCCTCCATCTTTTGTCTTGAACCTGTCGCCGCCAGCAACTGTACGAGCAGCTGCCGAAACGTCCCTCCCCTCCTCTGCCGTTCGTTGGAGTGTTTGCGTCAGCCGAGGGCTTGCGGGTATTGGAATGTACTTGCCGGTCGCATTCGAGTTTGGGTTGTCTTGCGGTGGGCGTGCTTCTTCCCCTCGAAGTTCGTCCGTGGTGATGTGTACGCCGTGCCTTCCTTGCTATGAGTATGTGCCGGGGTGTACTCGCAGATCTTCTTCAAGGTCGTTTTATGGTTGAACGCGCAGATTTCCTCCAACGTTTAGGAAGTCTGTGCAAAACCTCCCTGGGTCGATGCTGATGTTGGTGTGTGTGGTGTTTTATGTGTTGGGGCGTGCTTGCCGACCTCCTGGCATGAGCAGATCTCCTCCAAGTTCAAACCTGCGCTGGGTTGCACTTGCAGATATCCTGCCGGTTACGCCAGTGGTTAATGTGGGCACACCGGTTTGTTTTGGGGCGGGAATGTAGGTTTCATCCGAGATGCGGTGTCCTCGTAGATCTTCAAGCTTTCCGCTGTACGCGCAGATCTCGTCTGATAGTATGTTCGTGATGCGCTGATGGAAAAGTCTCTTTCGTTGATCCTTGTGTTGGGGTTGATCTGCATGACTCCTCCGACCTTATGTTTGCGTTGGTGCAGGTGTGCTGGTCGTCTTATCTTCTACGTCTGTGTCAGGGTGTCAATGCAGATGCTCCCAGTTTACGCTTGTGTTGGGCTGTGGGTGCATTTCAAGCTACAGTTGGGGCATGGAGTACAACCAAACTTGCTCCTTTGCGTTGCAACGTATACACAATACTCCGTATGGTGTATGTTTGTGTTACGCTGGATGTACAGACCTCCCCCGGGTTTATGTTTGTGTTCGGATGGACGTCCACACCTCCATGGACTTTCTAATTTGGAGTATGTGCAAATCTCCTCCAAGCCTACGTTTGTGCTCAAGTGTGTGGGCAGGTACCCTTCAGGCTTGCGCCAGTATTGCAATGCACGTGCAGCTCTCCTTCGCGTCTAAGCTTGTCAGGGTGTTCGTGTGCAGATCTCCTCAAGCTCACAGCTCAAGTACGTGCTGTGTTAGTGCAGACCTCCTGCAACTTGTGCTGGTGTGTATGCGTGTGCGTGTGTCTGTATGTGATCTCGTTCAAGCTAACTTCGTGCCGGCGGTCAAATGAATATCCCCTCCAAGAACTCCGGCTGGGATGTTACACAGGCCTTGGAGTGCCAGTGTTTGTGTTTAAGTAGGGACGGGAGACGAGACCTGTTGAATTGGGGTATATGCACATCTGCTACAAGTTCATGTGTGTGCTAAGCTGTATGTACTTGTTTCTAGTTTTATACGTGGGTTCGGGTGTATAAGTGCTGTTCCTCCTCTCTGTCCAACTCGTCGCGTGGAGTCTACGGGAGAGACGGTAGTGACCAGGGAGAGGAGGACGGCGGGACAAAAAACTAATATATTTTACCGACCTGTCTACTTTGTCCCGAAAGATGACCAAACTCAGGGGAAAACGAGGCAACAGGGACCATGCGGGAATATCCAGACCACAAGGGGACCGCAAGGGGGTTGATGTTACGTGCTGCTGCTGCTGCCGTTCCTGCTGCAGATGCTTGCTCTGCTGCCGCCGAAGAAGCAGATGCAGAAAAGAACAGCAAAAATACAAGAGCAAACAGAGACGAGGTCGGGAAGGAACGCGCCTCGACGGAGAAGCCTCTCAGCTGAGAGGGCACACAACCCAGCCGAATGCAAGAGCTGTAGCAACAGGAGCAGCAACTGCCGCACAGCAGAAAAAAAGCGGCCGTTTGCACCTCAGAAGCAGAAGAACCAAAAAGAAGACAGATGCAACACAGACCCCCCCTTTCAAAGCATTAAGGTGAGATCCTCGAAAAAAGGAGACGAGCGCCTCGACGGGAGTGCTCGTGTACCGCCTGTGGTGTGCAGGGCTCACTTTATTTGCCCAGTTAGAGGTGTACATGCAGCTTATTTAGAGTTGCAGTCTGTCAAAAATGATGTAACAGTGTCTGATTCAAGGCAAGCAGCAAGAACGGCCCACAAATGAGCAGTGATTGCCGCCGGGCGGTCGATGACGAGCGAGGAAGCATCAGCAACACTGCCTCCTCAGTCCAGTGTGCTGATTCTGAGAAGTATGGAGAGTTAATTCTCAAAACGATACCATAGAGGCAAACATGGAAACAAGCATGCACACAATACAACTGTTTTGATCAAACGTCGCGCCCGTTTGAGCTGCGAGATTCGCGTCTATGCTCACCGCAGGTCCACACCCCACGGTGCCTCGGCCTCGCCCGCGGCACCTGCCACGGCCTTCTAGTAGCAAAAACAGCATCAGCCAATGCAAGAAAAAGCATACCTAGTACATTTATTTTTTTTTTATTGCTTTATAGCTGTTCATTGACTCGGGGGCACGTCGGTTCACTCTATTTCTGCGCGCCTCCACCTTGCCACTATCGAACACTCTGGGGGGTGGCAGCTGGAAGCGTAACCTCATTAAAAGTCTTTGAATTGCAGAAACACATCCTGACATAATGAATATAAACTTAGTATATCTCAGTTATTGTTAAGTTTGTTCTTCTTAGAGTCAAATGAAACTGAGTGGGGAGGCCTAGTCTTACGCGTCTCCCGGTGACAATTAGTTAATAGGGCCCTTGGGGCGCCAGGCTACAGGGCGGCTGACTTCTCGAGACTCTACGCACGTAGATAAGAAGTGTAAATAAATGATGATTATTACTGACTTGGGGATGAGAAAAGGCGCTGCGTAGCTAAGCCGGCACACCTCTCCCTCATGTGTCGGACTTTTCCTATATCGAAGGTCCTGGATCATATCCGAGGACTGATGAAGGCGAAAATGGATCCAAAATAAATATGAAAGTTTTATTAAAGCAGACGGCCTTCCTCTTCTGTCTCGAGGCCTCCTCATCGCAACGGCCCAAGCCCCTCGGGCTTCGGAAAAGGAGACTGCCTAACATCTTTGGCAACGTAATTCATCTCCTCTAATTATTGCAACTCAAAGTGCAAAACAGCCCCTCATACACGCATTTACATACCTTACATACGACCTGGCATTTTAAAACGGTTTGGGGAATCACCGCAGTACTAGCGAGCTCTACCCGTATATTGTCAGCAACGTAGCTCCTAGAGGGCCTCAACAGGCTGTCTTTAGTTTATGTAGATATACCGTAGACAGCCTGTTGAGGCCCTCTAGGAGCTACGTTGCTGACAATATACGGGTAGAGCTCGCTAGTACTGCGGTGATTCCCCGAACCGTTTTAAAATGCCAGGTCGTATGATGGTAGCTCCAAGTTAAGGGTACGTCTACGGTAGAGGCCAACGGATTGTCACGACAATGAGCAGCAAAACGTCTTCTATAGCGAGCAGCAGCGCATTTCTCGCAGGGCATTTCTCCTGGCTGCTCGCCCTCCCCCGCGCCTCGACACGCGTGCAAATTCACCAAAATCAGCTCGGCTTAGTTAAATGTAATTTCTGCATGCCTTTGCTGTAGTTTCCTCTTGGCATTCCAGTGATTCCCTTAAGAATTCCAGTGCTGTTGCGGGGTGCGTGGCGACGCCTGAGACTACGGATTCACGGGTTTGGCTTGCGACAGCAGGTCCAATTTCTTGATTGTCAACGGTACCTCGGTGTACACCACGGATGTGGGAGAGCAACGAGTGGAAGATTGTACTGTTGTACTATAAACCGACCCCGCGTGCGGAAAGAAATGAAGCAATTTTGAATAATTCAGCCCGGCCTTCTGAGTGCCGCATTCCCCTGCTGCTGTCGCTTTGTGCATTTTATCCCCATCTCGACTCGTTGAAATTAGCATCCCCAAAGCCCATAGATTCATTTTCCAAACCGTTTCCGAAACGATCTCTCCCTTTACCGCTACGGCGGCTGCAGTGCTGCTTCCCATTTCTTTGAAGCGGAGGTTTCCCATCATCGCCACAGGGTCAATCCTCGCATTTCGTACTGTCTTCCCCCCGCCCACCCTGTTGCTGATGCCTTTCCCTGTGGGCCAGCCCAGCTAACAGGCGTTGACACAAACGTCCCGAGACCAGCCTTTCGACTTCTGTTCTGATATAGCGCTTCTCCAACACTGCCATAGCCTGTTTCCCTGAAAACCAAAGGACAAGCATACGCAGAGTTGAGCGTCGGCAAGATATCCATTTCTAGACAGTAGTTCGGCCCATGTAACATCCATGCTTATATGTAACCACCAATGCCGTGGTTCTCGTGTAATACCTAAGGTCCTACAGCTACTGTAGCTCTTCTGGTGCTTGCTGGATATAGAAATACAGCTCCAGATGTGCAAGCAACACGTTGAATGCCACCGCATTGCAGGAACTATCAAATCTGCCTGGTCGACAATGGGAGTGGCACCCTTCATGAATTGCGCATGGTGTAGAGGGAATCCACCCGGTGCGACGCAGAAACAGAAGGTATACTTGCTTGACCTCGACGATGTTCATAACTGTTGGTGGCTTTCCCCAAAGAGGTATGCCCCCAATCAATTTCCGCTGCGCAGGGGAAGTGAAAAGCTGAGAGTGGATAAGGGATTTGGAAGGCTTTTCAAAACCATTTTCGTATACTTTTTTCGGTATTTGACAAAATATTTGGGTACATCTGACCCCGCTAAGAAATACGAATATTATATTTGGGTTAACTGCCCCCTTGCAACAAAAGTATAACCGACACGAACAGATGACAATCAGTGAATCTTGAATTAAGACTTTAAGTGGATATTCCGAGTGGCACAACTATTCCCTTTGGAACAAACAAAGCAACACACGCAAATACGTGGGAGGAGCGGTGGAACTGGGTAAGAAGTTCAAAAAACGATGCAGAGGGAACCAATGGATCTATCGTAGAAATGTGCTAGCCTTAGAGCACTGCGGAGAGCACTGGTGGGGGCAATGTGGTGATCTGCGAAGCTGCCTATATACATCGTGTACCTCGCGCGCTTATCGAAGGACGAATATACGGTTAGTGGATGCGTTGATTTTTGTATTGGGCTTCTACGAAGTAAGTGTTTATTCACTTGCAAAATCCCTGCCACTGAAAGTCGCTGGTGCCACGCATGAGAATAATTGGAGTTGCTTCCAGTTTGTATGGGACTACACAGGGAAGTCCGGAGCTTCTCCGAACCATTTTTGGAATGTGTCACTTGGGATATGACGACATCTATAAGTAGGGGGCGAACAACTCCAATGTACCGGGCGACATACGCCAAGTCACTGGCGCACAAAGGACAAGAAGTGGCCTTACAAACCCAATGACGAATATCTTCTGCTGCTCGCCCACCTGCGCACGTCAGGGAGACAACAAATTCGTCAGAAGCAACCTGCCTGCCCTACCGCTATTATTACGGCGTCTTCCCGAAAGTTCCTGTGTCTTTTCCACAAATTCCCACGCTGTTGCAAGGTGTGCATAGGACTCAGCGTCTGCCGGCATATGGAGCTGGACCAGGTACACAGGAACACACAACTAGATGCCGGAACGGTGATACGGGGGACAACAATGCAGTGTTACAGTACAAAGCCATTCCGTTTACAAGAACTAACTTTAATGAACTTCGTGGGCAGAATGCCTCACTTGATTCCGTTACAGCCGATATCTGCCCTTTGCTATAGTCGGGCTGTCGTTATTGTACTGATAGTGGCTCTTCTGGGCTGGCAGGGACGGGCTTCTGTGAGTCGGTGCCTCCATGATGGGGCGTCCTCCGCACGAGGATGCTGTGAGCCATAAACACTTAACATATAAGCGGGATATGTGGGTTGAATGCCTGGGGCGGGTAGCGATTTGCGTGGAGAACCACAGTTTCCAGAAGGCGTTTTCACAAACAGCCAAATATTCACGGTCCCTGACCTTCCCCGTATCCCTTTGCCCTACGTTGAGCTCGCTGAGAGGGTTGTTGCTTGTTATAATGGTTCAGTACGCAAGTGCAGAATCATAGGAACTGCGTGGCACTCTGCGCGTACATTGCTGAAGCATGAGCGGCATCCGGGTGTTTTTCACAACTCAAAGCGCAAGGTTACAGTGTTATAGAATTGCCCCACCTACTCTGATCAGATATTGGCTCCTGTGGGAAGAGGGCCCCTCCATTACAACGACTGTCACTGGTGTGCCATGTAAGCTCCCATAACTACTTACTCAGGGTCCCGAGTGTCATTTACTGTACTACGTACGCAACACTCAACTGGAAACCCAACACTGTAGCTTCACGACAAACGGTGCAATAAAAGCGCCATCCTGATGGAGAAAAGTGCCTACCAGGACCACACCGCCCCTGCCTGTGTGTGTAGCTTTGGCTTTTGAGCGGGCAGTGACCAGTATCAGACTAGCATCAAGTGAAAGTTACCACGCCCAATTTGCACCTGCATAGAGACTGCAGAGCTATGACCGTAACGAATCTCAAAATCCTGGCTAATTAATTGTCCGCGAAGGCAGCACGTTTGTCAAATCCCCCGCTCCAACGCAGCCTGTCTTGATGTTCTCTAAATGCAGAGACAAACAACTAAAGCCTAATCCTTAATACGTACACAAAAATGGGACTGGTCTTCTGACGCGCACCTGAATCTTCAGCTCTTCTAATCCAGAGGCCAACTTATGGAGGGAGGAAAACCTATTCCCTTTCAAGGACTGACTAGAACAGCGCACTCAATCTGACTAGGCGCAAACAAAAGCCTAACCTTATGGAAAAACGTCCACCATCTGCACATATCACCGCTACAGCGTGTCCTCACGTCTTCGCACTATTTTGCAGATTAATCCCCACCCTACTTTATTTCTAATGGCTTCAAAGAGGAAACACTGGAGCAGTTTCCCGTTCCCACTGCGCGCGCTGCTTACAAGCAGACACGACCACCTGGAGAAAAGAGAGACACCCGTGTTTGGTTACGCATGTAAATGTATCATGCAATTTATAGAATACGCATGCATCTGTATGTACATGTATGGAAGCACTCGTGTGTACACCGCTATTCATACAGAAGAATACAGTGAAGCCTGTGCACGCAAATGCACGTCTATACATACTGTATGCACTCGAATGCCTACACTGTTGGCCCTTGCTTGCCGAACGCGTTTACAGAGATATGCGGCGAATACCAACAGCAAACACAGGTATAGCACAAACAGACGCCAACGCGGAGAGAAGAAACAAACACTCCGTAGAGAAGCAGAAAGGGAGACGATCAGATAGCACAGCCGTTTCTCTGTCACTGCTGCTTCCACTGCACTTCCCATGGCCTGGCTGGAGCAGCACCATGAGGGGTACACACGAAACAGCGAAAAATTTGTTTGTAGGGGAAAAAGCACAACAGCTTCCAGCATTCACAGCAGCTCCCTCTTAATGCAACGAGAACGATGCACCAACTCGCATGGTGGTATGGAGCAAACCACAGAAACATACTATCATACGCATGTATAGTATGTGTGTATGCATCCCCACGTGTGCGTAGATATGGACACTGAAGGCGCACGGCTATACTGGTGTCAACGTTAGATAATACTACGTACTCTCGATGCATTCATGCGTGTACACAAGTGCACCTGTACAAGTGGGCAAATTCAGCGTTGATTTATGGACGCGCAAAGATATATAGAAAAACCTGCCCGGATAGACAGAAAATGTTACACACTTGTTTCCGTTTAGCTGTAAATAACCGTCCTGCTGCATATCTGTTTTCCTCCTGCTCCCCCGGATTAGCCCCCTCTGTATACTAGTATATATGCATGCATCCACGCAATATTCATAAATATAGATGTATATGTGTATATGCATACATGCACGTATAATCTATTATGTAAGTACATACTATCAGGTAGACAAGGTAACAAGGTGCACAAGCTTTCATCTTTGAGTAGACACGCCCGATGATGTAGGCATAACCGTTCAAAAATAGACACTCTTGCATACATGCACGCATACAAACTGCACGCCATGCAAAGCACACCCATGGAGAGGGGAGAAGCAAGAAATACATCTCTGACATGCAGCGAGCATGTTTCTCCCTGCTCTGTCCTTGCGCCTGATGCTGGTACGTTGTTGCATATGCCGAAGTGCTGTAGATAACTTTGAGACAATCACCGTTGCTGCCCCTGCTCCTGCAGCAGCAGCGTTTGTTTGGGATGGGTTCCCGGTGTGTCTATTGCTGTGCTTATGCGTAATACACAGATTCAGTGACCATGCGGAAAGGAGATATATCCCGCGACCATCTTCGTCTCTTCCGTGCTAAAGCTCGTATACATTTCGTCGAGGCAACTCCACAACGATCAGTCCTGCGGCCACCGATGCCGTATTTGCTGCTGGTAATGCCGGCGGTGCTCAAAATGCTGCTGTCCTGCTGCTGCTGTACAGCTCTTCTATTCCCTAATATTTTGCCGGCAGCTTAGACAGTTTTGATTGGGTCTGGGCGGCTACCCTGAATAATACAAGACAAGCGCAATCGCACCATAATGGCAAACGCTGCATGAGGCACAAAACACCAGCAGCGCCAGTGACCAGGCAGGTGGGACAACACGTATCGCCCTATGGACCGCTCCAGTATCCGCATCTGTAATAATGCGAAGCAGTAGGCGCATCAGGAGTAACGCAAAGCAGCGGCGGCAGCAGCAACATTACCAGCAGTCGTGCGAACTGACTAATTTTGTTTTTCTGTAGTGTCTGTAGAGAGGCTTGGGAATGAGCTCGTCAAGAATGAGATTAAGGAAGCCACAGCCAATAGCAAACAGATACAACCACCACGGCAAAGGCGAGGCGCTGAAGACAGAACTGATCCCTGGAATGATTGTCAGCAAAGAGGTCAGAGAAGCCGAAATCGCGCAGGCTAAGTGCATCCAGGGATTTCGGTTAAACGCCGTGAAAAACCACTCCCATGTACGAACCTGCATGCATGCGCAAAACACTGTTGAGAGCTGCGCGCACTTAATATACCGGGTGCAAAAATAATGCACCTTAAGAATACTCGTACTGAAAAAATGACTAACGAGCAGATACTGGAATATACATGAGCATACAGCCAAGCGGAAAAACACGGAGCCGGCGAGACGCTACGAAGGCGGTGGAAGTGGCGGAAAATCACGGAAGGATGCCAAAGTCACTTCAGATAAACTTCTGGGAAGCAATGGGAGGAGGAAAGAGCAAGCAGTGATGCATTTCAAATGTCTAGCTCACACTTTTACTGGAGTAAAAAGCCGAAAGCACAGAGACAGCAGGGGGGTAGCCACGCAGACAAGGCAGGCAACCGACCACGAAACAAAATGGAGGAGGCGAACAGCAGGAGCAGCAAGAGGACCAGCCCAAACAACCCAACAAAAAACGGTGAACATAGCATGTGCGTGGGACTGTGAAAGCACTGTGTGTAGGTGCAAATGCAACTCACAGAATAAGCTCTCAGCATTTCACACCAAACAGCGGAGATGAATGAGCACGTCCTTGCCATCTTCGCTCCTCTCGAGGAAACATCGAAATACTTATTGGGCATGAGTCCTAAGGGAGCGATGTTATCCCCTCCTTCCCACAGCCCCCTGTCTGCTGGTCTGCACCAGCCCAACTCATCCTTAAGCAGCGGATCAGGGCAACCCTTAGCCATGTCCTCCGCAACAGACGGCAGCAGGGAAGACGATGATACAGACAAGTCATAATGCTTCCCACGGGCTGCTCCCAATACCTGCACAATGCCGCCCTCTGCGAAAGACACACACATATATGCATATCTTCGCATTGATGTCCGAGGCTGTTACATGTGTTTTTCCTGCCTCAATGTACTTTATTAATTGAATCCTTCGTGTTTCTAATACTTGTGCACGCTGCATATTTAAACTGCACACAGGGATGCGCATACTCTCCACAATCATTAACGAGTGCGTTCACTCGGTGATGCTTCTGCTGGACGTGCCACACTTCCGCAGCATGCACACAATACAAATCCTAGAAATGTACACGTAAGAGTCGGGTGAGCTACCTCCGTATGTCACGCGATACAAAGACAACACTAATGAGTACGAGAAGAGTCAACAGAGACGGCGAGCCTATAACAAATGAATAATCGAAAAGAGGGGTATTGGCTTACCAGAGGGGCTGAAGTAGTCAATATTTGTAACCCAGCCTGTGTAATCAGAAGAAACTCGATATTCGTTTGAGTAGCAGAAATAACGCAAAGTGCTCTCGTGCTGCGTCGAACAAGAGAAAAGCAGATGGACCCAAGAAGAATTGCGGTGAACGAAAGAAAGACAGAAACGAGCACAGAACGAAAAGCGAAATTCACCGTCAAATAACAAAGACAAAAAGGGTCAAATAAAGACAAAAAACACAGAATAGAACGAGGACCCAAGCATATGGAAAAGGACCCTGCTCAAGGAGCAAGGCATCGCTCGGGCAAAAAGGGAAGAGAGGCGTCGGAACGATGAAAAGGCCGCCCAGGCCTCAGACACCGTGGTATGCATGCAACGTTTGCGGCAGGCGAACACGAAGACCAGTGAAGATAGAGGTGCACAGCGAAAGGGTCTGCGCCGATGACGACAGAGACGAGTTTACACATGGGCAGGAGAGGCATAACTAAACAGGAACCACTACATGCTCACTCCAACGCTGTCAACAACAGTGACAGTGTTGCATTTGTTTGTCAAGTCTTTGAGAAGAATGCTGCCGGTGCAGAGATAAAGCCCCATCGCCAACGACAACAAAACGCATGCAGCCTCAAACAACGTGTGCGGCAAGTTTCCGAATAACCACCAGTCCCGTGTCATAATCGGCTGCTTGCGGTTGCGGGGGGGCACCTGAATGCAATAAAACACAACGCGCAGCCGGAAGAGAGTATCTCTAGACGCAAGTGGTAAATGCATACTGCTAGACCAGCGAGGCAACGGGCAGGATACAAGTCCTACACAAAGACTGCTGCACATAGCCGCGTCAAGATGGAAGACGCTGGCAACTAAGTCCCTCTGTGCACGCTTAAGAGTGCAGGCGTACGCTCATATTGTCGTCATCAGGAGGCTCCTTGGCCAAAGCCACTGCAGGGCACCCGTCGCTCATCAAGTTCAGAAACAGCACCTGTCAAAAACAAAAAACCAAACATGGTAGGTTAAAACCAAAACACGGTGGGTAAGGAGTGGCTAAACACAAAGAAACACACTAGGATATGTATGACACAAACACTCAGGAAAATACAACGCCAAGAGGAAGCGAAGGGGAAGTGCGCCGAAACAAGGATGGAGGACCACCAGCGGCGTTCTAGGAAGGGGAGACAGAATGGGGGCACAGCGGAGACAAAGGCAACAGCAAACAATAAAGGCACGACATCAATGAGCAGCGGGGCAGCGAAGGCATAACACGCACGGCAGGGGCGAACGAACGAAACGGAAGGCAGCAGGGTGCGAACCAGATGCGAGACACGGGCACACAACGACAGAAACAAGACCAAGCAGAAAGGAATATGAAGAGAAAGGCAGGGATTGAGGCAAAAGTGAAAGAGACAGAGGCAGCCGAAGAGAGTCCACCTGCAGAGCCTCAAGGGGCAAGGGCATGGAGGCGGCGATGGCGATGGTTAGATAGATGATCTCGCCAATGTTTGTACCAAGCAAAAAGCAGACAAACTTTTGAATATTCCCATAAATCTTCCTCCCCTCTTCTACAGCTGCGAGGAAATAAACAAAGGTAGGTAGAAAGCAGGAAAAACTTGGGCAGACGAGTCAATGCATAAGGTAAAGAAACAGCAAAAGCCGAAGCACTGCCAGCCATAGTGGCCGCCTTCACAAAAGAATACCGCAGCCAAGGCATATTTCGTCGTTGCCAAAACAGTACCCGACCAGCCCATGCAGCAGCAGCCATACGAAAATAGAAGCCGGTAAGGCAGACAATAATGGCATTTACAATAGACCGGTGGAGAATGCATACCTGCGACGATAGTACAGAAGTTGTCGTCCAAGAGGATCATTTCGGCTGCTCCCTTCGCAACATCTGTGCCTGAAACGCCCATTGCCACTCCAATGTCTGCTGCTTTAAGCGCAGGAGCGTCGTTTACCCCGTCGCCTGTCATCGCGACAGTGTGGCCCAGACGCTGGAGGCAGGATACCAGCCAAAACTTATCCTCTGGTTGGGCGCGGGCGAACACGCGAATTCTGTACACGAAAACAACCGCCGAGACGCCAACCAGTCATTGGGGAAACGAACGTAATAACAACATAATACACAATAAAGCCGATGAATACAACTGACAGCAGTGAACCCCAAAATACGGACTAATAATACAGCAGTCACTACGTTTGGTGACGCTCATGCACACACACGTTGAAAGGGCGTAGCCCATGAGGACAGGCACAGCAAGACTGCCAATCTCACTGTCACGTGCGGTAAGTACTAATGCCATCATCGCCTTTTCCACTGCTACCACCACCTTCACCTTGTTTTCCACATACTGCTGCAGCTAAAATGCTGAAGTTCACTTGTCTCCAGTTGCACCGATTCCACGGCGGAGATGACACAGACAAGAATGTGTTTCTGCTTCTACTGCATTTATCACCAGCATGAAATAACGTACCATTCACCGCATACAAGAACAAATGAAGCAGTTGCGGCTTACCCGTCAACAAGATCATCAATTTCCTCGTTGGGTTTGTACGGCAGAGACGGGTCATCGTCTTGGTGAAGAACAGCACAGGTGACCGATCGTTTGCTAACATCTTCATCCTCCGTCAGAATGCCGATGTCTTTGGCGATCGCGCAGGCGGTTGTCAGCTGGTCGCCTGTAATCATGGCTACGCGAACGCCGGCCCCATGGCACTCTCTAACAGCTTCGCGTACACCCGCACGCGGTGGGTCCAGGGAGCCCACCAAGCCCAATATGACCAAAGACTGCGGGAACAGAAGGAAGCGACGGGCAGAAAAAAGCACAAAAATAGGGTGCGGCATTCACCAGCAAACAGCTCACACATCGATACAACAATAGAACAGCGGAAGCAAAAAACACGCGATGCAGGCCGAAACGGGAGACAGCCTGCTGCTACATAGAAAAGACGCCAAAGGAGAGGGAATACGTAGAGGAAAAACAGGCATGCATTGAAAATGGGAAAAAATGCGAAAGACGGGGACAAGCAAATACTCCCGCCACCCCACGTTGGTGCATCGTTATATGCACAGAAACGCCAAGGAGCACAACAATTGGCCAGAGCAGAGCAAACAGGTAACATGCCGCAGAAAAGTACACTTCAAAAGTAGCATAGAGGCGCATCGAATGCAGCGCTCTGAAAATGGCTTAGGATTCGGGCTGCACCATACGTGCGGCGGTTCCTCCAAAATGGTGTGTAGCCTCTCGTCGGCGCCTGCGCAGCCCTTTAGCTCTTCAACGTCGTCATCTGTCAGCGGTTTAATCGCCACCGCGAGCACACGGAGAGCAGCTGACGACAATTTGTCATTTGCTGCTTTTATTTCAGCCTTTTCTTCTTCCGTCAGCGGCGAGCGCCATGACACACGCGAAACGCCCTCGTTCTCAGACAGACAAAAGCCCAAGTGCGGGAACATCTAACCAAAAAACACACATACAGGCGAACGGACAGACAGAATGACCAATTCCATAGGCACTGCACCTTGTATAACAGCCATTGGCAAATGGTCAATATGCAATGAACAATTTGCAACAACCATGTATGCATACACCACCTGACATGGCGGCCGCTGTATATACGATTCCCTCAACACTAAACTCACTATTTCTTAGTCTTACGTACCCTATCTGGTGCACCCTTTACAATAGCAACGTGTGTGAAAACTTTGCTGTCGTCTGCTAGGAGAATATCTGCGAACTGGTTAGAGGTCTGCAGCTTATGCACGGAGACAGCCATTTTCCTGCCAGAGTTGAAGGGAACCTCCAAAGACGACTCCCGCGGGAATAGGGAACGAGTTGCCGCTGTTAGACCCGCCTTTGCTGCTGCTACCACCAGAGCACCTAAAAGCAAACAGAAAAGGGGATACCAGACACAGAGACCAACAACCAGAAACACTCAAAGAAGTGCCAGGCAACGGGTAGCGCGGCTGAGACGGGCACACAGGCGTAGGCGAAGTGAAATACACAGATGAAGCGGCAGGCATAGCCATGAAGACAGACGGCACGAAAAAGGCAGGGGCATCATCATTCAGGTGGTAATATATTCAGACGCGAAGAGGGGAATGCCTACAGTCACAATGCAGGGTGACTGACAAAAGTCGACAGAAACACAGGGTAGACCAGCTAGAGGCAAGGGACACATGACTTGCCTTCGCTCATATTGCCTGTGGTTGTCCACCGTTTGGTTTTCGGGTCCTGCTCAAGCTTCGTCGAGTGCGAGTTCAATAGCGCTGCAGTCAGAAACGCGCGCACGCGAACAGCTGCAGCAGAAGCACAGTCAGCAGGTGCTGAAGCAGGAGCAGCGGCAGAGGAGGACGAAGAGGAAGCTGCAGACGCTGCTGCAGACGCTGCTGCTGAGCCGCGTTGCGCCATTTCCGCGGAGCCGTAGTCCGTGAGGATCTGGCCAAAGGACTCATAGGCACCCTGCCCGTGCAGAGCGGCCAGTGTGTTCTGAAGAGGCAGGGACAGAACGAGAGAGGTAGTATGCACTTATTATTCAGAAGTGCACCAAAAGCGCGGCGACAGCACTACAGGGGAAAAACGCAAGAGAGCAAACAATGCGGCAACCACTGATTGGTGCTTGGGTGCGCGGCAAACGAGGCAAAATAAGAGGCAAACACATAGAAACCAGGGTACAACTGATGTAGATTACAATACGGTAGAAAGCGCAGGGTGCCAAATGGATCAAATGAAAAACCAAGAACAACGACTACGAAAGCCAGGGCGACAGCAATTGCCTAGTCACACTTTCTTCTGCTCCGTCAGAAGTTCTGCATCGAAGAAACCTCCTCTAGGATCAAAACCTTTGGTGGGATAGACGGCGAATGTTTTCGCAATGCTCATCTCCTGGTCCTTTATGCTGCCACCACGCGAAAAGGAAACAAGATGCGTCGCCGTCATCTTGCCCTCAGTCAACGTTCCTGTAAGTAGAATGGGAGGCGCATGCAGGCACAGGTACGAATACAGCAGCAAAAAATGCCACCGGCAATAACAACGAGATAGCCAGACAGGCCAGGGACAAAACTGAGACTAGGGAAAGATCCGTTACATCGGGACTAGAAGGAAATACCACGGGCCGCACCTGTCTTATCGGAGCAAATTACAGAACAACAACCTAACGTTTCCACGGCCGGCAACTTCCGTACATTGGCTCTCCGCTTTACCTGCACAGTAGGAGCAGCAGCGACAACCACGGTAGCAATGACAACAGCAGCAGCAGATACAGCAACAGAAATGTCAGCAAAAGGACCAGCGGCGGGAGCAATGCCAGCACCGTAACCAGCAGCACCAGCAGTGGTAGTTGCTTCACTTGCTCCCCCTATGCCAATCTCTGTTTGTAACCCACCATATCTCGAGCTCCCAATGAGAGACAAATTGTCACAACCATGGGCAAACCTTCGGGAATGGAGGAGACGGCGAACCCCACAGCAACCAGAACAATCTAAACAGAATGGAAAATGAAAAACAGGCAGCCGATGAGCTAATATACGACAAACAGCGGATAACGTGGGAGAGATAGGGCCAACAACACAGCGCTGCTGTACGAAGAAAACCAAAATAGCAATCAATTCCACCGCAAAACTTGCTGCTGCTGCTGAACGTACTGCTGCACCCGTCGAAAACGACAGCAGCTTCAGATTCAGGGGAGACCGCCTGCTGGAAGTGCTGCTACTGACTTCTGTCCCTCTTGCTGTCCCTGGTTGCTCACCGTAAAAACCGGGTCAGAGTCTGGGTGTGCGGGGTCCCTGTACCCTGTGAGAACGGCGACGACGACGATTACCACGAGGACGCAAATGGCAATCAGGCCAATTAGCCCGCCCAAACGGTTAAGCCCCCGCTGGAGGGGAGTGAGGCGAGAGGCTGCCCCTGCCTTCTTGAGTTGAGTCGCAATGCGGCCGACCTGTGAAACCCAAAGATATGCAAAAGAGCAGAAAATGAGCCAGTAGGGAGTAATCTTCGATAACCTCGGCACTAGGCTTGTGATTCCGCGTGCCATCTGTCGAGATTGGGCCGGGACAGAGGTGCCCAGGGGAGGAGCAAAACGGGCAAACGCGCAATAGGAGAGATCGACCGATTACATGCAAACTAAATAGCCTACTGTTGTATTATCATTCCCAAAGACTGATAGGCAAAATAGAGAATAGCAGCAGCAGAGACACGCAGATAGAGATAAACTGAAAAGGAAGGGCAATCCTCAACATGCCAACATGGAATGACTAACACAGGCACCAGCACCTGGGCTAAATGACATGAGAGACGAAATACTAGGAAGCCTTCAGGGGAGCACGTACCGGAAGGAACACGTCAGGCAAAGGAAGAGAAGAACAAGTAATACAGTGTGCGAGAAACAATAGCAGAGGTGAAGGAGTAATACAGTGAGAGAAACCATGGTAGGGGAGAAGGGACATCCCAGTCACCTGTGTCTCCATCCCCGTGGCATAGACGAGGCACTTGCCGCTGCCGTTGGTGACAATAGTGCTTGCAAAGCAAAGGTTAGAAGCAAATGGAGCATCTCCATCTACAGCTGAGACGGTTTTCGCAACGTCTTCAGACTCTCCTGTGGACACAGCACCATGTACTTAACCAGAGAAGTAGGATTCTGGGGGGCGGCGGCGGGAAAAAGGGGGGGTTAAACTAGGGCAAGGGGGGGTTGTGGAGAAGAAATACACACAAGTGAAGCGCCCCACTGGATCCAGTAGCAGCAGTCTAAAAAGCTCAGCAGCAGTGGAAAAGGAGGCTGTGGCAGCCGCAGCAAAAGCAATAGCAGCAGTGGTAGCAGCAGCACTAACTGCAACAGAAGCACGAAGTTAACAAGCCAGATGATACAGAGAAGACCCAGGACAATGGGATGGCGACCAGAAGACTGCAGGACACGCGTTGAGGCGCCAGCGCCAGTGCAAAGAAGACAAGATGGCAAATCCGTGAACACGAGGCACGAGGGAGAGCGGCATCAGCAAGAGGAAAAAGATGCAGCATGACGCGGCAAACGATAAAGTGTGCTTGCCTGTTAGAATGGCTTCGTTAGTCTTGAGCTCCGTGACGTCTACGCATCGCATGTCTGCAGCTACACTGTTGCCTGTGGCCAAAAAGACAATATCTCCAGGCACTACTTCTTCAGCAGGCACCGTCCGTTCTTTTCCTTCTCTCAAGACGCAGCACATTGGGGCTGCCATGCTCGCCAGCTTCGCCAGGGCAGTGCTAGCTGCAGCAAATCAGCGGAAAACCAGAAACATCAACACGGTTATTCTCCATCCTCTCCCTCTTACGATCATCACCCAGCGATGTCCAAGACAGAACAAACGCCCAGATTGATGGAAAAGGAAAAGACAGACGGTGCCCAGCCTGTTTGCGCACATGTGATGTTGCATAAACACCAAATGCTATACGGTTGCACACCCTCACAAACACGCTGAAGCTGACGCACGAGACAAATATTTACTTGCACGGATACGCGTTAGCGCATATATATTTATTCGTGCACCAGAGCCTCTTCTGTGAACGCATGTGCTTGTTCCTGCTTCCTACTGGCTCTCTCACCGCTATTTTCCATATAAGTGGCGAGACATGCGTTAAGGGTGACGATTATGAGAATGGCAGCCCCCTCCACCCACTCTTGCATCACGAGAGAGGCGACGGCGGCGATCAGCAGCAAAAGCACGACAGGAGACCAGAACTGAGACAGAAAGATCTTGTACAAAGGGTCACGATCGCCTCTGTCCAGCATATTTCTCCCGTACTTTTCCCGATTCACCAACACTTGCGCCGACGTCAGCCCCTGGTTGATATCCGTGCACCCGAACTCCCTCGCCAACTCCTGCGCATGCAAGGGAACGCCGTCTCGTCAACCCGTCCATCATACACCGACCACCCCGCAACTCCAGTACACACCCCCAGCCCATTTCACCTAAAGGCTAGATATTTGCGCTCAAATTCCTAGACCCCCATTCCTAAAATAAACAGCCCCCAGCCTCCAAGGTCATCCCCCAGCTATATCCAAGGAAAACCCGTCAATAAGTGGCAATGGACACGGCTATGAGCAATATATTTAGATGAACGCAAAATCTAGAACATCGTCAACCTATCGAAGCCCGACGCGAAGCCTTCGTGTGCCGTTCGCCAATGCCCATAGTTTTCCAAATACCTAAACCTGCAGCATCTAAGATCCATCCCCCTAGTCCATGAAACACTAAATGCATACCAACTAGTCTCACCTCGATGGGTGTGGAAGCAAAACGATTTTTCCCAGAAGTGGGGAATTCCCTTTCCGTAGCGGTAACCATTTTGCGAAACGCCTCGGGATCGGCTTTTCTTGCCGACTCCACCAACTCTTTGAGACTAACCTACGCATCAGCACCAATTGCAGACTGTAAACACTTAGCAACAGTGACTGCATTAACCAGGCAATGGCGAGGTCGTGGAGCATGCATTCTCCTCAACTCTGCCCGTCTGGTTTTGCCACATGTGCTCCTTTCAGCCTGCTTGTCTGGCGCGTTTTCACTTTGCATGACGTGATCTGATATGCTTCCTATTGTTGTTTGGATTCCACTACATTATTTCCTTCCGCTGCTACACCTAAGGCGTATTTCTTCATCTCAACTGCATCCCTTGTCTACGTCTCTGGGCGTGTTTGCCTCGGCGGGTGCCGTTTCTCAAGCACAAACCAACCTGGCTCTTGCTGAGCCGCTCGAGGATTTCCATTTCAACATTGTCCGGGTAGGCCGACGGATCTAAGGCTTGGGGGACCATCCGAGCAGTATCAGACCTTATAAAAGACTCCACCCCGCTTTCTCGCACAGAAGGCGACGAACTCAACTCCATCTCTTCCCCTGCTTCGCTTCTAGTAGGAGAGAGCCTGATGGCATCCGCCCTACCTCCTGATGGAGTTGCTGCTACCCCTGCTGCTGCTGGTGTTGGTGCTTCTGCTGCGGCCGCTGATGCTGCTGGGGTTGATGCTGTCCCGCCCTCAAACCCACCAACATCGCCGCCTCCACCTGCTGCAAGGCCGTCCATCCCGGGCGGTCCCCCTTGGCTTGGCTCCGCCATCCTACCCCTCCTGCGGTTGTTCCTGCTGCTCCTGCGGCTTCAACGCCGAAGAACAACACGGCTTGAAGAACCTGCGGAGCAAAAAAGCTCTTCTTACCGACACCAAATGAAGGTGCAAGTTAAACTCTTAAATTGGAAACCCGAAACCTTGAACCCCAAACCCCGTACCCGGCCTCCAAGGTAGTACTGCTCGCCCTGGCCACCCTCTGAGACAGCAAACCAGGGAACAACAAAATAGACAAGTAGGAAAAGAGGCGAATATAAGTTTTTGGTGCAGGTCTTTGTATTAGGAGGAGGGAGAAGTGCACAGTTTTGCGAAATAAACAAAGACCTACAGGGGGGTGGAGGGGGGGCCACTCCGACAGGCTCTGGTGCTAGCAAGTCCTCTATTTCCTCCCTCTTGCTAAGAGGAAACAGCGGCCATAACTTTTGAATCAAATACCTTTAACTACATCCCACTCCCTAAAAGGCGACAAATCAAAGGGCACGTTTGGACGCCACCCTCGCCACCCCTGCTCCTGCTGCCACTGCACCTTACCTAGTATGCTGTTCGGCCGCCGCACTTACTACATGTCCTTCCTCTACTATTATACCTTGACTCCTCCAGAACAACTGATTCCTCTACCTGACTTCATCTGCTACCATTCTGCTAAAGATGCCCGCTGCAGCGGCGTACCCCTAACATATATATGTATTCATTCTGTCAGTCTGTAAACCGTGGGAGCCCAACAAAAATGCTCAACCGTTTCTCCACGTGTATCCATATATTCGAATATCCCTCTCTGGGAATTTTAACTGTATACGCGCTCCATTTATACGGAGCAAAAGCAAACTGCTGGCCTTCGCTGTGACCATATACATGCATTTTATCTATATGCATACTGATGTGACTACACATATTAAACATATATATATTCATAGTGGTGCTTCTACGTACATACATATATACATTCACACATATACATACATATATTTCCGCGCGCTGTTCTACAGCGTTGCCCTTCTCCCTCGTCCCTGGGTGGCGCACGAGCACGTGTTACCCCCTCCGTTCATTCCAAAAGGGTGTGCGCGGCGATTGCCTCGGCCCTCATTCGGTCTTCCTCGATATCCTGATGGTGCCCCTGCGGGGGCCCTAGTTTCCGCTGCTCTCGCTCTTGCGGCTGCCCAACAGATTTGCTTGCAGAGGCGCTGGCATGCTTCCAACTCGAGCTTCAGGTAATGAATTTGGGCCTTGTCTCTATGAAGCCTTTCAATCTCCTGTCGTCTTACCTGCAACTCGTGTTCCAGAGGTCGCAGTCGCAGCACTTCGTCCTCCAGTTTCTTAATCGTCCTGTCCGCAGTTCGCAGTCGGAAGAGTCTGGGCTGCAAATTTTTCAATTCCTGGGATAAAAATGCGACCTCCTCATCCTTATCTTTCAGTTTCAAAAAGGTATCCCTCAGCCGGCACTGCGTGTCTCTGAATTCTTGGGCCGCCTTGTGGAAGTTCGCCTCTTCAAGCTTCAACATCGCCACTTCTCGCCTCAGGCGGTTTGTCTCGTCTTGTGCCATTTCAAGTTGTTTGCTAAGCTCCCGCTGATCCCCTTGCATGGCGGTCTTCTCCCTATACCAAGACAGGGCCATTGCCCTGAACTTGTTCAATTCCGTCGTCACTTCTTCTTGTAGCCGCAAAATCATGATCCTCTCGGGGCTTAGCACTTGAGAGCCTGGGTTCACTGGACGCGGTGGGTTCCCTCGAGGTGCCTGATGTGCTGGGTTGGGTCGATGCACTTGCGGTACTGGACTTACACGAGGCACTTGATGCACTGGGCCAACTCGGGGCACCTGGGGCACTGGACTGACTCGAGGAACCTGGGGCATTGGATTGACTCGAGGCACTTGTGGCATTGGATTGACCCGAGGCACATGAGGCAACGGCACCTGAGGCATTGGATTCACCCTAGGCACCTGGGGCATCGGGTACACTCGAGGAGCCTGTGCCACTTGAACCACTGGGGTGGCCCCCGGTCCTGGTGTCACCTGTGGCGGCAATTGGACCATTGGACTCACTCCAGATAGTTGAGGCACTTGATCCAGCGGAGGCAATGGAGGCAGCGGAGGCACAGGTGCCATCTGAGGCACTGCAGCCAGCTGAGGCAGCTGCGCCATCGGAGCCATCTGGGGCAAGGGCACCATTGGAGGCAGTGGGGGCATTTGCGGCATCGGATGCATCATAGGCACTTGGGGCACTGGCGTCTCCTGCTTCACCCCTGCAACATCCTCCTCAACGGCCCTCTTCTCGTTGGGATCAGAATGTGAAGACGTTGTAGGGCTCCACATAAAAGTCGGTGTGTGTACCGGCACCTCCGCCTCCCCTTCGGGGATAGGATACAAAGCATAGCGAAAACTCGGCGGGATATCCTGAATATTTGTTTCATCGAACGGCGGAAGTGCTTCCTGATAGATGCCCGGACTCTCCACAGTTGGCTGTGGGCCACCATGGCCATCGAGAAGATCGAAAAAGCTGGGCAAAGACATTCTCACTTCGAAACAGCTTCCCCGTGGAGAGAAGGCAATTAAAAGACTAAAACGTCGGTATTAAACCCTGTCAATAAAGCAGCCCAAAGCAGGGCTCATGCCAAGGGAACACTCCGTAAAGTATCTGCTCCCCTCTGCAAAAGCAACACACACCAGTGTACACACAGGCATGGCAGCTTGTTAGCATACATATACTGCGGAAAAACCCTATACCCCCACAGGCTAAATACCACCTTTTACTCCAAATCAAATTACTGCGAAGCACGGAGTAGCCATGCGAAGTCCACTTACAGCACATATGAGGACCAAGCGTTCGTCTTGAGTCGCCCCACCTTGCAAACCTGCGATGCGGTAAAATTTCAGCTGAGATCTCCTCCGTACGTCAATAACTCTCAGAACGATTAACACCTGGTGGTAGGACCCGCTGAAGAATGAGAGACATAAAAAGGAGACGGAAGCAACAGCTCTCCTATCGATGTGTCTTCCGAGGTCCTGCCCACTGCAGCCTGCCAGCCGCCTGGACACTGCGCCAAAAACGTAAGTTCTGTACAAAGAACGTCCCGCCCGTTTGAATAAACATTCGAAGATTAAAAACGCTCAAGAAGAGCAAACTGAAGAAGCACGGTAGCAAGAAAAGTTCTGTCCAGTTGGCCTACCCGGGAATCCCCACACAACGCTGTCTTCCTTGTCTTGAGTTAGCGGGGGACCTCCGCCCTCCTCGTGGGGCGGGCCAGCGGCTTGCTTCGATACCGTGCAAGAAGACACTGTAGACACTTATAAGTTGAATTCTCATTCTTGTTGTTTACTTGAAATTGTTTATCTTCCTCTTTCTGATGTTTCCGACACCTTTGGGTCACCCTAAAGCAAGGTGCTCTGCAGTACAGCTACTGTACAGCTACTGCGCTGCCTTCCCCCTGCAGCAGAGGATTCAACGTCAGCCATTCGTTCGAGGTGGCCCTCCATAGAGACAACTAAATTTCACCGTAATTCACAAAAACAATATTACTACATAAATAAGATGTTGTAGCCCGCTTGCTCTCACAGCACACGCCTGAAATGCTCAAAGGGGAAATTCAGTGGCGATACGTGGTGGTGGATGGCATCCTCCACCTGGGATGACTACACTTGTTGGTGCATGAGGTCTTGTTCATAGTGGAGTAGAGTTAGATATTGAGGATTTATCGAATAATTAAAAAAGGTAAAAGCTACAAAATGCAGTTGGGTCCCCATAATTCGTAAGCATCGTTTTGCACGGTGTCGCAGTGCCGGGTTTGTAAGCAGCGACGTGGCAGGGCGAGTGTCTTGCATCACAGTTTGCTGCTACACCTGCAACACTTGTGGAACGGGATGATACACTAAATTGTGAAACTGGATGATAGCCTAATTTTGTTTCGTAAGATAGGCAGAACGGGCTGTCCTGATGCCCCGCAGGACTCAGTTCGTACGTTGCACGGTGCCCTCCAAAGCCGTGCGTTGTGGTTTGTTAAGCGTCCTTGTCACACACTGCTGGTGGTTTAATTCCATGTTTCTCCGTCTGTTGTCACTCAACCTGTGGAAATAGACCGTGCAGGCCCGGTGTTTTCAGACTACTAGACCCCGAGTGTTGTCCTGGTTTGAGCTCAACACTTTAGTGTATACTGCGGTGTTTGGAGAAAACGAGGGTAAAAACCAGTTAACAACCACAGAGATGTTGTGCATGCTCATTCAGGGTCCACAATTAAGAGCGGGTGACAGCAAGTCTCTGCTGTCATTTTGTTCCATGGTTCACACGCAATACACATATCAAAGGACGCAGGACAGCAGGACTGAAGTCATCCAGAAAATGCAGAAGGAGCCTCCAGCTTTCTTCTCCGCATACAGTGTGTGCCTCCTCCACTTCTGATGGGGGGTGCATAGTGTCACCTTTGCCTATGAGTACCCAAGGCCAAAATCTTCGCCTGCAGGGCAGGCATGGCCTTCTGACTTATGAGTTGGGAGACGAAGACTTTTTGTCTCCTGTGCATGCAGATGCTTCCCGAATATCAGTTGAAGCTAAGATCTGGTGTAGTATACGTACCTTCGTCTGCAACTGAAAGGACGCTGTCTTATCTTTCAATCTGGGAATGGACTCTCCCTTTCCCTTTAGCTTTCGATGCAAATCAGCTTCTTGGAGAGTGCACTCGGCATACTCGTTTTGCTGCACCTAAACAGTAGATTAGCACTAGCGATGCACCCTTATTGTGGCAACAGGAAGCGCTATCAGCTGCCCACAAGCTACAATTCCTCTGCACACCTCTTCTATATTGTCATCCTTGGTACATCGAATTAACTCCTCGCATTCCGTGATGAGCCCCTGCCTGGCGGTAGGATGTTGCGGTGTTGACTTCCGTGTTTTTGCGTGGAAATCCAAGGGCTTGCCTGAGCGCCCTCCACACATTGGTGTGGCCTTTCAGCTCTTGCTTTTCAAAAGATATCTCGCGCCTCAGTGCATCCACATCAACAGCTAGTGCACTTTGCTCCGCAGCAATCCCTATCCCGGTGTGGGCCTCGACGATAACGGCCGATTCTGCTGCACGACGATCTGTCTGGAAACTGACGTATTCGGAATATAAGCACCGAAAGCATTGCTCTAAGGACTCCGCTTCGGTTGTTAAAACGCTAAGCTCCTGCAGCTTGCAGCTAGTGCTACTCCACAGCAGCTGCAACTGAAGCAAAGAAGGCTGGGGCGAGTGAAGTTCTCGTTTCGTACACTCTCCCATCATGGAAAATGTACAAATGCACTCCGGAAGGTATGCTTGCTCTAGAAGAGGCTCAACACAGGGAGCAACGGGGTACGTGGTCCCGTATGTGCCACAGGTTCCTGGAGGTCTGCAGAATTTCGATGGCCATACACCGCAGGCGGTCCGCTGTACACAGCGGTTATCCCACAGTGCGCCACGCCTCTTTTGCATTTCAAACTCATCTAAATGGGGCTAAAATTAGAAATTTTTAAGGACGAACATTATTCCCTCTTGCATCATTTTTACAGCCTGGTAAGACCGGCGGCAAGTACGTTTTAGACCTGTTACGGTTGTAATGCAGTATCCTCCAATCAGTTGAGAGTGCCACGCACACCGGCAAGCTCCATACGCAAAAGTACCATTTTACATCAATTAAAGCATGGGAATAGTTGTGCTCGCACATAGTTCAGGATACAGATACATCTGTCCGTAGCCTTCGGCAAGGGGAGCAAGGAACACACGCACCCATGCCTCCAAAAAATCCACAACTACCGTCCACTGTGCTTGAATATATAGGTCAGATCTTCTTATATTTATTGTTATTGACACTTTCCGGGTATGAATAGGCGTCAACAGGGGAAATTCAGCAAAGGCCGCCGAATGGGGGTCCAGCGAAATTGCACCGCTGGTCTTCTTCAATGACCACAAAAGCCACCCTACGAAGCGCCCGGCTCGGCCTCCTCGAGTCCCCAGCTTCTTCTTATTCTGCAATGTTCAAATGTGGTTCATTTCATTCGATGTTTATTGGTTTTTCAATCCTGCCCACTTTGCGCCGAGACAGCACCAGGGCACTAGCGCCCACTAAAGGGACAACATTACGGGCACGCATGAACTACTGGGTGTGGCGGGTTATCGTTCCTTGTATCTTTTGCCGGTGATCTGGTGCCTCGAGTTCCAATGCATGTTTTAAGAGGGGTTCACTTCCACTGATGCCCAAACTTTGGACCTTCCCGCAACGTCCCAGTGTCAGCCGCCTGAACAACTGCAGATTGGTTACATACAGTTTTCTGGAGTGTGTGTCGAGACTGAACAGTTTCAAACTGCCTCCTTGTTTTTGCGGCTCTACCACAGCTTCGAGTAGGGGTAGAAGTGACTCTTTGCTCTGTGCCTCTGAATTGTTGTGTCTAACAAGATAAGTGCACGAGAGATATAACGACAATGGCACCTGCTGCTTGTTGGGTGTGGTTAGTAACACTCCTGGTCCCGTTTCACGAAAGGCACATCAAGGCGTCCACATGGGCAGCATTAGCAGACTCTTCGCTTTTGGGCTCCATTACCGCGACAGGGGCACCCTCCCTAGCACCTGCTGTCGCCCTTCATGAAGGTCGCCGGAGATCTTCAGGTCTGTCCAGCTCTTCCAGCGCATTCGCTGAAGTTGGCGCCTCCACACGAAGCTCAACAGACAGGGATGATGAGGCGCCGACCCCAGAACGGAGCAACAAGAAGCGAAGGAAGAGAATGGTCCTTCTGCCCCCCAAGGGCAAACGCAGCAAGCCGGAGAGGAAGAGCAACAAAGCCACTTTTGGGCATAAGGAGCGTGCTGATGGGCCCAGTAACAATACTGCTGAGGCTCAGGAGGGCTTTAAGGATGTGGTGGTTGAGCCCATTGAAGTAGACAGTAGCGAACCACCGTCAGAGACGCCTGCAAAATTAGATGCGGCAGCAACTGGAGGACCAGAACAGCAGGCGAGTGCTGCGCAGCAAGCAGAAGCAGCGGCACGAGGACGTGCCGGACCAGAAGAAAGTGCTGTACAGAAAGCAGATGCATTGCCAGGTCGAAAACGGGGTCGCCAAGCTTCCTCTAAACGCCGACGAGGGACCGCCAGAGAGGGGCCCCACCCTCGGCGAGCTTCGGGTCGTCTGCTTGCGTTTAAAAGGTCTCTTAAGGGGTCCAAGGGGGCTTCGAAGAGCTCGACTAAGGGCAAGAACACAGCGCTGTTGAAAGAACCCAAACTCACCCCGGACTCCAGTCTTGACCCCGAAGACGGCTTTCCCAGAGTCCTACCCCGGCCCCCACAGAAAAATGGCACCAGCCATAGGAATCTTCCTGTCGGCTGCATGCCCGTGCAGGCAACACGAGGGATGGAGGCCTTTGCTGAACAACTCCCTTCACAAGGAGTAGGCTGTAGGCTCCGAATGGAAGCTGAGCAGAGCCAGCGCCAGGGGCAGAAGGAGCAGCAGCATCACCAAATGCAACATTACCAGCCGCAGGCGAAGCAGGGGGAGACACAGGATCAAATCCACAAAGAGTGGCAGGATGTCCCGCAAGACTTACCGCAGCATCAGGGGGACCACCGACATCAGGAGGACCCGCAGCCGGTTGTTCAGTACCACCAGCAGCAGGGCATGCACGAGCGGCCAGGGGAGGAGCAGGAGAAACAACTTCAGCCGAATCAGCAACAGGGAGATGGGGCAAGACAACGGGAACAACGGGATCAACAGCGGCTTGAGGAACAGCAACACCAGGAGAGGGACAGCAGCAGCAGCAGGGAGGACGAAACAAGTATTAAGATGACCGGAAGATAGACCAGCAGCATCAGCAGCAGCACCAGCAGCGGGCGAATGGGCAACATCAATTAGGGATTCGGCGGTGAGAGCGGCTGTAGAAGCCAAAACACGACGCCGCAGGGAGCACCGACGTCACCATGAGTGCGGGAAAGTAGAGTTGCACCAACAGCAGCAATGGAAGGAGACTCACTCGAATTTCTGTACCTCTGCGTGGAACTAATTATCGGTTTGCTGTACGTTTCAAAACTTAGCTGCGGGAAAACGGCATGCTATATTCAGTTGGCTGCCTGCTGTGCCGCCCTTGAAATGCATTTTTTTGGTTTGATGTAGTCGCAACTTACAGCGCAGAGAGACGAAATGAAATGTCTCACATTGGCACAAACTCAAAACAGCAAATGCTAACACTAAGAGAGTAGCAACAGATGGGCAGGCAGTCACGTAGAGGCGTAAGCCGCCAAGGGTCGCCGGGATAGGGGCACTGGGGCATTAACCCCAGTGCTCATCGTTGACGCTACTGTCGTAAGTACCCCGCTACGGATCGCCTCAGAGGCGTCAGAGTCAGCTTAATCGATAGGGTGGAACGGTACAGAAGCCGCCACATGGTCTGCAAGCCAATCGACTATCAATCCGTCTCGCTTTGGTGGCAATTTAAATTCAAAAAGGCTGTAAGGTGAAGAAGACTATAAAGTCAAAACGAGAGGGAGACGTTTAGAGACTACCCCTAATACCCAGGCAGCTCCAGAGAGGTGCCCTTCCGGTGCCTCCTTAACTCAGCAGACCCGAAGGCCCCAACATCACCTCGTTGGCGTTTGTGCGCAGTTGAACGAGGGCTTGACGCGCCAAGCAACGGCGCCGGCAGCTGCACCCAGCTGCCTGCACAGGGGAGTGTTGCCCAAGGGAAGGCTGCTAGCACGAAGGAAGACCTGAATAGCGGCTGCTCAGCCTCCGTGCTGCGCCCGGAAAGAAAGAGGCCTCATCATACTGGACCGACATGCATCATCGTTTGGCACGCATGAGGGTCTCTAGGATGCTCTGGCTGCTTCTTCAGTGCCTCCCTCCTACAGAGCTCCCTCTTGGGAGTCCTACTCCACAGTCTCACTTCTATCACTTAACTGCTGCTGCTGCTGCTGCTGCTGCTACGGCCTTTACTCCACTTGCGATGTCAGTACAGGGTCGCATAAAGGCCCAAATCCGTCATCCAAGCGCCGCTGCGGTGCACCGTCGCTTCTGAAGATAGCATCACGGGTAGCTCCTTACGACCACCTGAAGTCAAAACACCCTAGCAGTACAACTGACCAAAGTTCCTTAAACCAGCATCCGCTGATGGTTACCTGCGATACATGTAGCTATGTCGCTACAAGCGTAGGTCTAGGCGTTTGCTGTGGAACAGCTATTGCTGTGGAATAGCTAAAGCGTTGTGCTATCTGGAAGCCGCACCCATAATGTCCACCTCTGCGGCGGATATAACAGGCTCTGGATAAGCTGTGGGATGAATTCTGATTATCATCGCGCTAATATTGTCGCCACTGCCCATCAAATACGCTGTAGTGATGAGTCGTGAAGCAGTTTCTTCCAAGTTTCCCTTAGTGGCCTGCACAGTGAAATTCAAGAGTAGCAACCCAATTGATCAGTCCGCTGTGTATCTATCGAACTGTTTCAAAAAAGGGGGAGGCAATACACACTAAGCCAACCGACAACACCAAGCAAACGACCTGCTACTTCGGGCCACTTGCCTGGAGCTGCATGGCCACGAAGTTGGCGACAAATTTCCACGTCATTCCTTGTGCCTCGAATACACCTGTATACATCCAAGCAGAAACCGTTAAATTTATGACAATCACACCAAAAGATAAGCCCCAACCCAAACCATAACCTGCCTAAAACACCACTTCATTTCCACTTCATTTCCGGGTCGTGCGCACCGTCGCAAGCGAAGACCAAGATGTCACCTGCCTTCACCTTGATCGTCCTCGCGTGTGGCAACGCCACCACTTTCTGCTGAGAAGGCAACAGGTCTGTCCTACCCTTCATCCTCTGAAGAGAAGCGAAATGCGCATTTCAGAGACGCGACACGGACGTGCAACCTGTGGTGTACCGCTGTCAGCTTCAAAATGTGCGACGGAGGCTCGTTGTAGCCAGAGAAATCGCCACAGGCGAACTAAAAGTGCAGCTAAATGGGGCTAAAAGCGGGCCAGAAGCCGCCTCCCCGTGCGTCCAAATCAAGATGTGCAGATATCTATGCGCATATGCATAGAAACATGTACAAGCAGAATGATTCCGCAAGAGGCCAGGCATGCAGCAAGGGCTTGCACGTACGAAGTCTCCAAAACTGCGACTTAGAGCCAAGCGACCGTCAATGCGCCAAACACCCATTGCCGTACGCATCACAGAGCCGCCCGCCCGCTGCACACGAGCCATCTCTACGGGGTCATTGGGTTTCTGGTCTATCGACATCGGCGTGAAGGTTCCATCGGAGTGCAAAACCAGCAGCCGCGAGTCCCCTGCACAATACCGCAATCACCAGAGCGCCAAGTATGACAACGCGCAGGAAGCAGGGCCTTTGTCCCCGACGAAACAAGCATATTCCGAACATACACCGGGGAGATACAGGTCAGGTACGTACAGTAGATGCGAGGAGAGCATCAAAATGGGCAAATACATAAGACAAGCGGGAGTTCCACATGGCACATGACAGCATCACACACCGAAGCTATCCAAAACACGTTCTTCCGTACCGATGTTCGCAACGTGCAACGTGAATTCCGGCACCGCGGGATCGTCAGCAACCAAAATGCCGATTATACCTGCAGTAAAAAGCAAATGACGCGACTCCAATTTACGCATGTAGACTGGGAAACAAACAATGCACACCAATGTGATACTTCCCCGATGAACCCGTGCCAAAACAATGAGCGGTAGGAAATGCTATATTACGGCACAGATGGCACAACGGCAGCGGCGGCAACACACGCTGAAGAGAAACGGAGGCACAGGCAGAAACCGACACCGACAGACCCCACAAGAAGCGACAGCACATAACCGCAGTAGGCAGAGACCGAAACTGCTGACGAAGCGAGGGGCACAGAGGGAGAGGTAGAGAAAAATGGGAGAGATGCAAAGACTTGGAAACTGAAAGTGTCCTTCGTGAAAAGGCGGAACACAAACACAAGCAGAGAGACATGGTCGGACACCAGGAGACAGAACGCGGACGGAGAAACGAGCTGAGGAACTTGAAAGCACCAGCCGTAATCGCACCTGTCGACCCGGGTCCGATGGGTATTTCCGGGTCGCTCCGGAGTGCTGCGTCAAGAGCGAAACTTGCTTCAGCAAACGAGTTGCCCGAGAAGTCTGGCATCCTTCCTGTGTGAGCAACCACAAAGGAAAACGTAAAACAGCCGAAAACACAACTCCTTCCGGTACGGGCCCCAAGCTGCTACCCATCTGTGAGCAGCAGCCCTACTACGCGCTTTCAACAGAGCGGCAAACAGAGAGATGGACTGCAGCAACGGTGTTAACCAGCTCAACTGCTCCGTTTCAACCCTGGACCCCAGCATACCAAAGAAAGTAGGGGTAAGCACTGAACACTTGCGGGCGACTACATGACCACCGTGCCCATCGAATAAACCCGTTATGAAAGAACTCGGCTTTCCTGGTAGTGGAGCCGAAAGCAGCAGAGCCTGTGTGGAGCACCCAAACAAGGAAATATTGCAGGTTTACTGAGGACCGTGACCCCGATTCCCCAGACCAAGGGTGCTTAGGAAAGGGAAAAAGTAGAGTCCTACGTCCTCGTCGTCTGCCCTCCGGCCTATGACAGTTGCCGCCGCTGTCTCGGCAAAACCTAGGTGCAGTTTCATGGTCTTCCTCTTGAGATGGTTTGCTGGGCCCTGGGCCCCGGAGACGCCAGCGGATCCCGAACTCGTCGTTGCAGTCGACGGCGGTTTTGGAGATTTCAGCGCTCTCTGAATTGTATCTGCCACTCCATGCTGCTGCTTCTCTATCTTCCGATTGCTATCCAGAGTCTCCACTAGCCCCTTCAACTGCGCTGTCGCAATAGTGAGCAAATCTGAGTCCGTATCCTTCAGCGCCGCCAATGACTTCAAGGTAACGCCCACACCACCCTGCAGCCTCCAACCCTGCCGCCGTTGCTGCCAATCCTCCTTCCCGTGCAATAATTTGGGGTCCTCTTTCTGGTACTCTTGTAATTCAGGCTGCTGCATCTCTGGGTCTTCCCATTGCCGCTGCCTCTCGAAATCGGCCTGCTGGTGTTGTGCATCATGCTGCTCCTGCTGCTTGCGCCCTGATTTGCCGCTGTGTCCACCCAGTGTTTCATCAAAACTGTGAATGTTCTGTTCGGCAGTTCTTCCTTGGAGCACCCGCACGGCTAGAACGAAAAGCAACAAAAAAACCCAGGAGCGGCGGGGCTGGAGTGGGGCCCCCGCCCAGAACCTCCCGGGCACCATAATGTCGGCAGAGGCCTTGCTTTTAAGCGATGTCTACTTGCTGGCAACTGAAACAACGCCTTATGCCGCACCGCCTCCAGCCTGCTGTGCGGCATGGCCCCTCGCAGTGGGCCCCTGACTCCAAGGCGGATGTGGTAGGGGTGTTAGAAAAGTTGCGGTTACAGGGCACTCAAAACCTTCAACAAAAAGACGTCAACCCGCGGACACATGGGGAAGGAGTCCATGACTAAAGCAGGACAAAAAATCGTGAGCCCTACCGTCAAAAAAACAAACCTGCTGCAGCGGCTATAATTCGGTATTCCGGTTGGATGCCCGGTCAAAGTAATTGTAGCTAAGTATAGCCAAAATGAACTACAGAATCACGGCGAAAAAACAGCATTGAAACCACACGGGTCCTAAGCAACTGCGGTGCCAGTTGACCTCTGGCTGCAGGGCTGATTTGCCAGTTTGTGTGATCGTCGACGTAGGTGGGGTTACGGGCGGCTAAATGTGCCAGTGTCAAGCACCCAGTTTACAATAATGTAAGGCGAAGTGCATGAGATTGTAATGTATTTCTTGATTCCAAACCAAGTCAGTCTAACTCCATCGTGCAACATTCCGCGCCTTTGCAATCGGGCTGTGCGAGCAGGGGCTTCCTCCCCGCTCACGCTTGGCCTTGGCTGAATGACCATTTAACACAACGCAAGTTGCTGTGTTACCTTCATTCCTACCAAGCGCATGAAGGCGGCGTGAACGTTTTGTGCTATGTCAAGAGCAGACTGGAAGGGCGTCACTGGCTTGTATCATTGCTGTAGCGTGCTGGTAGCTACCATTCTGTGTAGGGAATTCTCAAGTCTATCTAACGCTGGTGCATGAGTCCTCACGCGGCCCTAGAAAGACATTGAAAGGCAAGGAGGAATCCGGGACACTGGTGTACACCGTTCGTGCATACACCCCAGAAGGTGTATTTTGTCCGCTTTTACGTGTGTCAGAGTAATAGGGTAAATCCGATGTTGCAGAGTCTTCCAGAAGTTGACACATGAACCCGTACCCGGCCCTAGACAAACTATACGCAAGCCGAAGTTCTCAACAATAGTATACGGAGTTACAGTGTATAGCCCAGAATGTAACGCTGGTCGTTTATCTTATCCGAGGAGTGCTGTGAGGTGCTATGAAGCCCAGATGTTCAAGAAGAGAGTTCCTTACTAGCAGCTGATCCCCCCTTTGAGTCTCTATGCCTTTTGAGAGCAGCCTGTCAAGCCCCTGGAGCTGCAGTAGAGGAAGCGGCCTGACATGCGGGGCAGTGGACCTTTCTGCAACTGAGGATGTTTAACAGATCTCGCGTGTTCTGTAGAAATCCATTACTATGCGGATAAGTTGATTTTCGGTGTCGCTACCCCATTTTACTTACGCAGAATATCCGATACTTGTTTCTTGCCTACCACATGCTGACAATTGTTGCAGCGCGCCAATAAATCGACATAGATGCTGGCGCACCTACACAGCTTCAGACACTAGATCTACCTGGAAGCCTATGTCAAACCATGCTATCAGCTGTTGGCCATTATTACAGGCTTAACATGCCAGTTATATTTTATAATCCGTCATTGAGGCAAGCATTTGGCATGTTAAGCCCGTAATAATGGCCAACAGCTGATAGCCTGGTTTGACATAGGCTTCCAGGTAGATCTAAACTGTTACTTCTTTGGCCCCATAACCGAACCGTTAATCCAGGGCGTACACTTCCCTAAGTAACGCTCCATCGATAGCTCACCTTGTTCAATCTTCCATAGTTCTGCTATATGCTGTTCACTTGCCAACGTGGAAATAAGGGCGCTTATCAGGTGCCTGTAGACCTCTAATGTCCATATGTGCGCAAAAGCTGCGGCAATGAACAGGCGCTTGTGAACTCACACGTCGCCCAGTGATATCCATGCCCGGTGAAGCTTCAGCTACTGTTGTTTCCCTTGTCCATGTTGTTGCTACTAAACCATCCAACGGCAGGCGGGGTATTGCTAGCTAGGCTATCCTTTGTGGCTAGTTGCATGGAGGTCTGGGGTTACTCGCACTTCCTTGCAGTGGCAAGCAAAGCCCGGCATGAATCACAGGGATCCCTTGAAGAATATCCTTAATTATGGGAGTAACTACACCATTCCACAATACGTTTAGACGCACGCACGCAAGCATCCTGCCGATTTGCTTCCTCTTCCGCAAGCAATCGAGGACCAAGGTGTGTCATGTACCACGGGACCCCGTACCTGTAAAGTGTTAGATAATGCGGTCCAAACACTACTGTTGACGGAACAAATTTCCACGCAGCCCTCTGCCGCTCTCCAACAGGTATCTAACAGTCCCCCACCGCTATATATGAGGGGTCCCCACCGCATGTGTTCGCTGTATTCTGCTGCTGCCTACAAGTGTTGCTTTCTGTTGAGCCCGAGAATCACGCGCTGAAGAGGGTCAAACGTAGCTAGAAGACACCTAATTGCTGTTGTAGTCACTGTGTTTTCCCCCATGTCTAAGGAAGCTGCGTGCCCCAAGGAAGTTGGAAGACTTCTGTGGAATGGAAATGCCACCCTCAAGAATATTAACCCTTAGACTCACAGCCTGCTGCACTAGCCGGTGCACGAGGTGTTCTTGCTCCCACTGATATGCATCAAAGTTCAATGAAGAACTTCTCTTGCTTCAACCGGCGCTTTATCACGGACGGCACTTGCAAAATTACTCCTCAGTTGGGCTGGTTCGTTGGAATTTCGCCTAGCATTCTCCTCGACATACCTCGCAGCAGCAACCCACAACATGAGGTAGCTTAGCAGTATAGCAGTGCCGAATTCGTGGCGCAGCGAAGAAAGCGTTCTTCACTTCCAAATGGTACCAAAGACGCCGACGCAAATGAAGTAGTGCGTATTGTAGTTACTAGTTGATATGTCGCCGCAGCTAGAAAGTACACCTATAGACGAAACTATGGCAAATAGCAGACAACGTCAATACCACTGCCACGGTCACATAGCGGCTGCGCGGTGCCAACTCAACTCTCCGATACCCTGCTTGCTTGCATGTTCACGGGAAGTACGAACATCCAAATACACAGCAACTGCCAAAAACAAAAATGAAAAGTAAGTAGCACGAGGCGGTACATGGTTGCACAGGAGAAAATCCTTCGCCACGCACCATTCTTCCAAATTCACGAGTGCGTTGCTACTCTTGTAGGCGTGCATGTCCCCTTTATGAGCTGCCTCCGAGACTTGCTCAGTTCGTGTGAGCTGAGCCTGGCACAAGGAATACCATCGCTCCAAGGCAGCTCCTCTCACGCATGGTATGTTCCAAACATTTGTCCACTGCGCCAACGTACTTACATAAACAGCTGCTTTGCTCCTGCCTGGACCTAGGCCGGACTAGGGCAGGCGCTTTCTCACGAGGTGCGGCGTGGCCTACCAACATAGCTCCCCTCTCTGTCCATTTCACCCAGCTACGTGCCACTGTGCTCAAGACTCTATAGTCAAGATGTAAACCCAGTTTCCTTCTGGAATGGGAACACTTCCTCACGTACTCCCATTTCCTCAACCAAAGAGGTTCCTCAACCGAAGAGGGTCCTCAGCTGAAACGGCTGGCCTCGCCACACACGTAGCTTCACGTTTCAGGGAGAATGCCTCTTTCGGTGGGCAAGAAAATCCACATTGGCAGGGCCGGTTTTAGATCACTGTTGATCGCGAAGGCGCCTGGATTGGCGATAGGCGTAAACATCTATGGGGCTGGACTTCCCCAGTGTATTCCTTAAGGGCCCAGCCTATCGCTATCCTCTGCCTCTCTCTGTATCCGAATAAGGGAGACGGATAAGCATCTAAGATTTGGACAACAGGCGGCTCTGTGCGACCTTGATTCGGGCCACAAGGGAACAAAAGCTGTCGCGCAGCTCAGCCTGTGTCCACGGCCCGGACAATACAGGAAGCTTTACCCGTGGTGAGCAGAGGGACTATTATTTTCTCTGTAGAGCACTGAAGCACGCCAATCCCCGGGAAACGCTTTGTGCACCAAATGGAGAGGGAAGAGTCGCCCCCCATAAAAGGTACCACGTACAGCACTGCCAACCGATATGTCATACATTCTTCTATGCAGGTCCTGCCAAACACCTACCTTACTTTACACAGTACTTGGGAAAAAATGAACGTTGAGAACACTGGCACATGTGCAATGTGGGCGTAAAGGCAGTACGTCGCACATTCCCCTCTAGGCCACCTTGCTTGGTTGCATGTGCACGGAAACACGTAAAGCCAAATATACAGCGAGTAACGTTGCCAAAAATAAAAAATATGTACAGCACAGTGGCACATTGGTGGAAGGGAAATAGCCTGCACAATGCATCATACACGTAAATTCGCAATTTGCTTTTTTTAATCCTGGCATGTCTAAATACAGCGCTGGCCAAGAGTTTTGCACCTTTCATCTGAAGTTGCACTGCCAGCACATCATCTCTTCAAGGCACCGCCGGACAGTTTCAGCAGATAGCAAACGTCTCGGTTGGTGTACAAAGCCTAGCAACACTATATTCTAGCCATCGTGCTAACATGGCCCATCGCTGGCCGGTGAAGCCCTCTGCACGTACACACAAGCATGCCGCTACGGAATACCTCTGCTCAGGTCCTCGACTCATTAACGGCTCCCCCTCGTCCCTTTAATTCAACACCATAGCTCCAACTAAACCGTTTACGTACCATTACCCAGCCGCACAACACTGTGTGCTGCCCGTCCGCATGCTCCGCCCTCTTCGCCTTCGTCTTGGTCGATGGACCGTCCCCAACTCGATACCGGGATTGGCTGCAAGCATAAGCACAAAACACTGCACTCCACGACATGTCACGCAAGAACTTGGTCGAAACACCACACAGACGTGGCGACTGCCCTGCTCCCCACAGACTGGTATCCATATGCGTCGTCGTCTTGTATCTGCCGAGGCAATTAGTAGTTGGTCGTCTGCCAATCGGTTA